TATATATATATATATATATATATAGTTCATCCGGTGCACCTCATCCAGTACCTGAACCAAATCCAGTGCTTGCGGACCTGAGGTCTTCGGTCTTTCGTCACGGTGACGGTAAGAAGCAGTGGAAGAACTACCAATATTGCAACAACTAATTACGACAATGATGCAGTACCAATGCTAGCAGTTGTTATAATGATGCTGTACAATAATAGACCGAATCATAATCATGAGTATTGCCAGCGTAACTAACTATTCGCTGCTAGTACTTTCCCCGCTCTTGCGGCACTCAGCAGCTGGTTAATTTGTGTTACTTATCACAATGGCAGTTGTAGTTGTGCTTAATAATAGTAGCAAGCAATAAAAATATCGACGACCAAGTAAGGGGAAGGAGCAACAATAATCATAAGCTAATGATATGAACAGTAACCATAAGAATGACAAAGGAGTATTAGGGGCAGTAATGATGACTTCAGCGAAACAATAATTGCACGTAATAACCCGTTTTGTAGAAACAGCAAGAGGTCTCTGCATCATCTGACCCCTATTCCGCCGACCCTTTCAGTCGCGAGACTGCTCCATGGAGTTAAGGACGAATAGGTGACTCCCACGTTCAGCGCCCACAGAAATCCAGGCCCAACACGAGCGGCGAAGGACCCATAGAGAGCGGCTAGCTGGCCAGCTACAGCTCATCAAGTAGCTAGCTAGCCATGCAAGTAAGCACTGTATGCCCAACCAAGGATTGGGACAAACTCTCCTTTGCGCCCTCTATTGGTGGATAAGAACGGAGCAAACGTCTGGTGCAGCACTCAGGGCTTAACGTTTGGGGATTAGGGCTTTGGGTTGGTCTGCTCGTCTACCGCTCCCGCAGCAGAAGCAGAGACGGAAAACCAGGGATGGCGCAGCGCTGCTTCAGCCGACAAACGCTCCTGCGAAAACCCAAGACCCTAAACGCTCAACGCGGATCGACACTCAAGCCGTAGAACAGCACCCTAAGCCGCAGACCCAAAACCCAACAATACACCCTACGGACTTGGGGGTCGAATGCCAACAACTTCCTGAGGAGATCACGAGCAAGCGGATTCGGTACCCCTACACCGGCAGGATCGCGACCTCTTAACAGCTCCGCGAACTGCAGTAGCAGCAGCAAAATCAGTTACATGACACGCAGATGCACAGGAGGGAAAAACAGCAGCCAGTAATATACAAGGGTAGCAACCCTCAGCAAGACCACGAAGCGACTGTCACTGCAAAAACAGCAGAAGCAGCAGCAGCAGGCTGAGATATTGGTTTACGATGGCGTCGTTGCAGTCCTGGTGGTTCTGTCTTGTTTGCTGCGTCCCCGCAACTTCGCCGAACTCATTATTAGGATCTCCATCGTCCTCAGCCGCCTCCAAGAGTCCTCGCTGCAGCTGCACTGTCTGATGCTGCTGCAACACCAACAGCGGCTGCACCGCACGCTGGTGGTGCCGCACCACCACCTCGCCGCTACCCCCTGTGCCAAGCAACCGCGACAGCAGCGCGAACGGCTTCTGCCGGTCAAGCCCCATGTCCTAAAGCGAGCAAAACAACAACAGAGCTAAGAAGGGGCTGTTGGTGCTGCCTTTGTTGCTGCTGTGTTTTCTGTCTGTTGGCCTTCGCAGAACAAGCTCAGTATCGGAGTATCTTCCTCTTCAACGGTATTATAGTGTATTATAGTGTTAACAGCATACAGGTACTAGTATCGATTGTTTACAGCAGACAGGTACATCATCTATGTAAATGCATGCATTCGTTGTTTTTTGGTAGAATTTTTATTCATTCACCAAGAAAAATATATACACTATATGCCTGAAGTAACATCCTGAACACTATTATGTCTGAAGTATCAGTATCTTGAACAAGCCGCACTGTGTGCATGCATCGGAGCGGCGCCTGGTGCTTGTTGCTGCTGACCTCGTGGGTGACCTCCTTCCTCTTAAGCTCCATTCCTGCTGCATTTGTCGGTTGCAGGTCTCTGCGTTGTTGTTGCTGCTGCTGCGTCCCTCCGTCTGGGTCGAGCCAACTAAGGTAAAATCGCTCCGCAGCGGAAACAACAGCCGACCTCACAGTAGCAAAGAAAGATGTAGGCGTAGCAGCAGCAACAGCTGTGGAGACTGCAGCGGTCGGCAACCTGTCAGATGGCCATGGGATTAAACACAAGTCATTCAGAGCCAGCAGCAGCAGATGCTGCTGCAGCACAGCAGCAGGCTGTCCCTGATACGTCCGATAAAGCTGCAGCACCCACCCACACCTCACCACCAATCACCATTAATGAGCTGCAGCAACACATCCCTACATAAGCCTGTTGCTGTATCAGGAACAGCCTCCGCAGCAGCAACAGCAGCAACAGCAGCAACATCCGCAGCAGCAGCAACAGCCGCCACAGAAGCAAGACATCAGCAGGTCCAGCAAAACGCCTTCCCCAGCAGCAGCAACAGCCATCACGCAATTCATAAGCCTCCTCAAATGTAGTACGAAGCACCCATAGTGGCATTTTGATAGCCAATGTCCGCAGAACCAGCAACTAAAGTAGGAAAAACTACGGTAGCAGCAACAGCGATAGCAGCGGAAGCAGCAACAGTAGCGGCGCTTGGAAACAAGACGATCAGCAATAACAGGAACAGCAGCAGCAACAACACCAGCAGTAGCGGCAAAAGCAGCTTCCGCAGCAGCCTGTCCTCACTTTGGCCCGCCACCTGCCATCGAGAGGCTCGAGAGGAGAAGGATTACCAAGGGCCAATTTCAGGAATATTAAACCAACACCCCAAATGTCATAAGAAGGCGGCCTGTGCAAAGAACCCTTGCTGCTGCTGCTGTTGCTGCCGTCCTCCTCTGCGCCATCTGGGGCACTGGTGCTCCTGTGGTCGTGGATGCTGCTGCTACTGCCTCTGCTTCCGTCGCGGTTGCCGCCAACACATGCTCCATAACAGTGCTGCCCTTGGTGCTGCTGCTTCTCTTTCTGCGGTTGACGTTGCAACGCCTGCTGCTGATATTGCTGCTTTTGCTGCTGCTGCGTTGCCTCGAGCTCTGCCTGCGCTGCAGCCTCAGCCCAAACTTCAGGTGGTTGGTAGCCGTCGGATTCCTCAAAAACTGACAGAGTCTCCTCCCCCCATAGCGCCTTCAGCGCTGCAGAAGCAGCAGAAGTAACAGAAGGATAATTAGCAGCAGCAGGAGCATCAGAAAGAGCAGATGAGAAAGTGTTAGGACAGCACATCTCACCGCGTGTTGTGTGTCTCAGTCCTATCTGGTGCTGTGTATGCTCGAAGATAACGTAAGTGGTACATCCCCATACCGAAAGATTGATGCACGCACACAGATGCAGCAAAGCTGGTCCTCTGCAGCTCACCTCGCGCTACAGGGGAATTCTCATCGTTACTTGCAGCACTACCCCAGTCGACGAGACGCACTGAAACTGGAAGAGAAGGCTGCAGCAGCACATTTTCCTGAACAGCAGCAACAGCAACAGCAGCGACAGAGAGAGAATCTGCAGGTGCAAGCCATACGGCTATGCATCGAAATGTTTTGTGCCTTTCTTTGTCTGTACCTGGAGCTGTCCCCGGTTCTACTGGTGCTTGCGCTGTTCTTGTGACCCACACCTCCAGCCTTACAAGCTTAACGTCCCGGTGCGTAACGTTCAGCGCATGCGCCGCCTGTAGCGCCTGCAGCAGCTGCTGTAGCACGGAGCGAATGAACAGTAGCAGCTCACTTGGGTTCTGCTGCAGCTGCAGTAACAGTGGCAAAAATGGCGCATCTGCTGCCGCTGCTGCTGCTGCAGCAGTAGCAGCAGCAAACTGCCGCACACGGCGAGGTGGGGGATGAAGGCGTGCTGAAGCCTTTAAGTACCACCACAGCGCATTCTACGTGCAGCACCAGCAGCAGAACAAGAAACAGCTACCACAAAAAGAGTGAACGCAACGAATATGGGGCGTGGGGTGGGGCTACAGCACATACTACATTGAGGCGCTTGAAGGTTCAACACAGAAACAAATCGAATACAAGGAAAGAACATCAAAAACAAGTGATACGGCTGCTACTGGTACTACGCCTGCCACTGGCTGTGTCCTAGGGCTTACTGGCGTTAGCATGCCGCTGCCTGCGGTGTCTGCGGCAAAGAAGAGAGGCGTCAAGGAGATGCCTTCGTTGGCAAAGACCAGCCAGCGATTGCAGCAACTCTGCCTCGCGCTCTCTGCTGCTCGCTTCAGGTCTTCGAAATTCATTTCTGGCAAGAACGCTGCTGCAGCTGCAGCTGCTACTTCAGGCTCTGCCACCGCTGATGTTCCTTCTACTGTTGCTGCTACTTCAGACTCCGCTGCCGCTACTCCTTTTGCAGGTGCAGTTGCTTCGCCTGCTGGTACCAAATTAACAGCCCCAACATCCGATGAAGCTGAGGGGCCATCAGGAAGCACTTCAACGAAACGCGAGACGTGAGGGGCGCCCCGCAATAGCAGACCTGCAGCGGCACAGCGAAAAGCAGCAGCACTATCAGAAGATACGTAGCAACAGCTGCAGCCAACCAGTAACCGCTGACTGCCATCTTTCCAGGAGCAGACCCACCAAAAAATACCTCACGGGCAAAACCCCGCCGTACCCGCGCTGACTCTTGCTGAAGCAGCAGCTGCTGCTGCTGCTCCAGTTTTTCGCCATTCGGCTGTGTTGCTATGGCCTCGCAGCGCATGCGTTTGAGTACTGTCTCTTCAAATGGGGCCTCACTATCGAGAGACACCGCACGCCACACCTGCACAACGGAGCAGCAGCAGCACAACAGCAGCGCCTGTAACTGTCTGCGAGAACAACAGCTGCTGTAACCTAGAGGATACGAAACCAGCTGGAGCTGCCTCAGAGGGACCCCCACCTCCCCGTATGCGCCACCACCTAATTGCCCGAACAGGCGATAGCGAGACCTGTTGTTGCTGCTGCCGGTGGTGCTGCTGGCATCTGGGGATGGCAATGAGGGGGGGTGAAACCAGAAAGGGAAGGATCGCAGGATTCTGCAGGCGCAAAACAAATTGGCTTGGCCTCTTCTCTCTGGTGTCTGTTCAGCGTGCTCTTCAATATCAATATGTTCTTTAATATGCTCTTGTTGTTGCTGCTGCTGCTGTTTCTTACATGAAGGGATCCACGCAGAAGCCTTCGGGCCCCGCATGCAGCTGCCTGGAAATGACGACTTCGGAGCGCACAGACACAACAGCTGCAGCAAGTGCTGCTCCTGTTGTTACAGCGGAAGCTGCTGCTACTTCCTGTAGCAGCAGCCGTTGCTGGCGTGCCCAACCAGGGAGCCACCGCGTAGTTTCAGCGGATTGTGGGGTTCGCTGCCTGGTGGGCCACTGGTCACCGCTGCTCTCCTCAAAGCAGCTGCCGCTCCCAGCCGCAGCAGAATCAGTTACAGCCGCGGTGTCACACTCAACAGACCCTGGATGTATCTGCAGCAGCCCAGAGGGCTCTCCTTTACTTGCGTCAGCAGCCTTAAGGGCCCATAACGGCGGATGGAGAAGCTCAAGCAGCAGATATTTGCCTTCTATTAAGGATCCCCTGTCTACAACTCTTTCTTCGCCCTTTTCCTGATGGCGGTTTCGGAACCCTCTGAATGCGTCTGCTGCTTGTACATCTACAGCCCTCCCCTCAAAGGGCGCCTTGGGTTGTAGTCCCGCCCAAAGGACCCTTTCCTGAAGGGTGGTCTCACTGCCTCTGTCACTGCTACTGTTGCCTCTGGGTGCAGCAGCAGCATTAAGATGCTCAACATGGTCATACGGCAGTCCGCAACTGCTGCAGGCGGCTCCTAAGAACAATAGGACGAAGGTCAGGCCGCACCAGGGAATGGGAAAGGCAGCAGCAGGAACAACGGTCATATTCAGCAGTGCCTATCCTCTTATATCTTACAGATGGGAGCACGAGAGAGTCTGGATTATGACGCAGCACATTGTTCCATTGCCGCACAGGCGGTGCTGCTGCTGTGTCTGCAGCATCCCCTGGACCAGGCCGACCGCACAGGAGGGGCAGAAACCCGCTATCTTGTTCAATGAGAAAAACCAGCAGCAAGAAAGTCTTGCCTCGAGCCGCGCTACACACTAATCAGTGATGCTGGTGATGATGTTGCGCAGGCATTCGAAATGCAGCAAGTGGGAGGGAAGGGTGGAACACGTTTCAGGCTCCGTCAAGTAGATACCCGACTATCTAACACGTCGTTGCAATGTTTTCAAGAGAATAATTCGAAATGAATAACCTCCGTTGCATTGTAAGGAGCAACAAAACTGACGGAGTCCGTTTCCTCCGCTCGCCCGCCGTTAGGCCACTGGGGCCCGGGTTGTTTGGTGTCTACGCTGTATTCTCTCATTTGATTACATCATAGAAAACGTCTAAAAAGCGTCTTGCACTGTTTCACAATATAAACAGTGCAATGTTATGTGCCAATCACTGTCGCGGGTGTTCCTTGAGCATCCGCTTGCCGACCCGAGCTATTCAGGTACATCTGCCTGGCAGACCACCATCGTGCGTGTGTAGTCACCGGAGCGGCACGAAGCCTGGTGCCTGGGTAGTCGATGATTCCTGATCATGGATTATTGCAGAATTGAATGAATAATGAGCTTCTTCATTATGAAGGACATGATGCTTCGGTTGTTGTTCACTTGTTTCCGAGGTCTGCGCCCAGTTACATCACCGCACAGTGGAGCAGGAGGTTCTCAGGAGTTCGAGATGTTTTCATTCCAACCTTGTAGCTAAATTTCGAATTTTAATTGTTTAAATCGTATTATGCCCTTTAGATGATTCAACTTCTATTTGTCAAACAGGACAGACGGTGCCACCCACCCTCTCGCTGGCGCTTCGCCAACGCCGTCTGACACTCGAATCGACTTGAGAACTCTCCACATACAATTAGAAGCCCCGCCTTAACTGCCTCTTTCTTTCTTGGATCCCGTATCTCTTTGCATCACGACTGTCTCCCTTTGTGTGCTTCAATTTGTTCGTGGTGTAGTAGCTGCTGCAGCTGTTGCCAGTTGCTCGGCGCATTGCCTTCTCGTTTGGCTTCCGCCGTTCATTCTTCGTCTTCGTGTGTCGACTCTCGTGTTACGTAAGTAAACCTGCTCGTGCTTAGGTTTTTTGCTTGTGTGTGTTTGGGTTTGGCTTTGGTTGTGACTCCGCTGTGCTGGTTCTCGAGGATGCGTCCGCGTCGGCTGATTTGCAGTTGGTGCGGGAGGGCGTTCTCTGATGGCTTTCTGCCTATCCACAAGATGATATGTGAGGAGAAGCGGCGCATCCTGTCTTGTCAACATTGCGGACTTAATTCGCAAAGGTTTCAGCTCGAGCAGCACCTCCGGCGTTGCCGCAAGCTCGCTGCTTCGCAGGTCAGCAGCAGCAGCAGTGGTGGCAGCGTGGGGGCTGCAGGTGCAGCATTGGACTCCCAAGGGAGGTTGCAGTGTGCCGTCTGCAGTCGGTGGTTTGCTGCAGACAGAGTAGGGCAGCATCAGACAATTTGCCAACGGATATCAGCGAGAAGACGGCAGCCCTTTGATTCGTTTGATCAGAGAAGGTTCGACCCCCTCATGCACAGAGCAGAAAAACAAGCAATTGCTGCACCCAAGCACGGTGCATCGACTCCCAGCAAACCTCCGCACTTTGCATCAAAGACGCGGATTCCAAACGGCCGCCTAGTTGCAGGTAGCAGTGCTACTGTTGATGGCCTCCCTGCTGGTAACACTGGTCGTTGTGCTGCGCCAGGCGTTGGTCGTCGTGCTGCGCCAGGCGTTGGTCGTCGTGCCGCTGGTAATGACCGTCTTGCCGCCGGTGTGGGGGGCTGTTGTGCTGCTGCTGCTGGTTGTCGCATCCCCGATGTCGCTCCTCTCTGCTTACCTGCTGCAGCTCGTACTGCGGCTGCTGGTCGTTCTGTTGTGGTTGCAGCAGCAGCTGTTCGAAAGCCGGCGGAATTGGAGCCACAAGTAGTGTCGGGTAGTTGCACTGGAAGGCGTCCGCCTCCCAGGTCCCCTGGGCCGCTCCGGGAGACGAACGTCTGTAGCCCAAACAATCCTTTGGCGTTTCCAAACTGCCCCCAATAATTCAACCAACATTTTGCACTCGGCAACCATCAGCAGAAGAGGCGTCTGCAGTACAAGTCTATTCAGCAGCATGTTGGGAGACGCACGGCAGCAGGGTGTAGTAGCTGAGAACGTAGATACAAGCGCTAGGTTTTCGTGCCCATTTACCTCGCGTGTGTTTTTGTATACTGTTTGCTTGTGACACTCCTCGCAGGCTTCATATGTACACCTGCAAATAGCTAAACCCTAAATTCTAAACCAAACACCCCGCTGTTAGTTTCCCTTTGCTTTCTGAGCCCCGATGGCTCAATGGACCACCACACCACACCCCCCAGCAAACTCCAAAGGATGCTCCAAGGGGCCCTAGTGGCAACGTTGGTGCCACGAGTGGGCAGCCACGGCGCCGATAGGTCCGTCTATGACACTTTTATGCCCCATAAGGAACCCAATGGGCTTCTTCAGTGGCAAGAGGCAACTAAATGCCCCCTTAGAGTACCTTAGGTTCCCACTGCACACCCCGAGGCATCAGTATACAATTCGAAAGGCTTAGAAGTATCTGGGACCTGCAAAATCGTATAATAGATGAGACGCTGCTTTAGTCTGCACACGGCTTGCGTATGCTCCGCGGTCCACTGGAAAGTGGTCCCCTTCCGCGTGAGCTCCACTAACGGCCTGGCTACCGTCGCAAAATCTGGCCCCATGAACATCCGGCAGTAATTTACGGTCCCCCAAAACTGTCGTACTTGAGTTTCGTTAGCTAAAGTTCCCGGCCATACCCTAATGGCCGAAAGTTTATCCGTGGCAGGTTTAATCCCTTCCGCACTGAATGTATACTCCAAATACGTGAGCTCTTGCTTAGCAAATTTGCACTTGCTAAACTTGGGGTAGAACTGCTGCTCAAGTAGGATGTCCAACACTTTCCTAAGAAGATCGACATGAGTAGGTACATCAGGGGTATAGAAAAGAATATCATCTAAATATGCAATAACCCCTTGGCCCAAAAGGGGTTGTACGTAAGCATTGGTATTTGCTTGAAAAGTCGCAGAGGCGCCCTTTAATTCAAAAGGCATAACTTTAAATTCAAATAGTCCTAAGACCGATCGGAAGGCTGTCTTTCCATCGTTCTCTTTTGGCCATCCTTATTTGATGGTACCCAGCCTCAAGTTCTTGAGTTCAAAAGACTTAGCTCCCCCAAGCAATTCCAAAATTGTGGCAATTGGAGGGAGGTGGAAACCGGGAGTTATCGTAAGAGCGTTAATCTCGCGGTAATTCACCACCATCCGCATCTTACATTCTCCCGAGAGCTGTTACCCCTGACGCTTCTGAGGCCATCCACCATCGAATTATATATGCTCAAGGGTGGCTGTGGGCCGCGGGGAATGGTCTTCATCCTAGGTTAATACAGGATCCAAAGGAGTTATTGGGCCTGTCTGCTCTGCTACTGCATAATTGGCTCCAATAACCGCACAGCACAACGCTCCTTGGCCTATATCAGGCCCCTATCTGATCATTCATATCCCTGCTTCTTTTACTTATGCACGACACTACACCAGCTGAGGTGCTTCTCATCGCGCTCAGACCGCCGACAGCTGCAGAATCACATGTTTGCTGGAAACGTTCTTGAGGCCGTCTACTCTTGTTTCGGCCTAGGTCGTGTCCCGAGTGTTCCGCGGGTATTGCGGTGTCAAGAAACATCAACTCCGTATGACGACGGCAGTCGTCATATGCAACATATTCCTCTCATCCTCAGGTGGAATATTGGCGTTGAAGGCCCTGAGGTAATCCATCTGAGTGGTTGACACCTCTAGGGGATCATCTAATTAAGTCCGCGTTGGGTTTCTCGCGCCGGCGTTGAGCCCCATTGTCCTTCCCACACGGTTTGCCCGGGTCTATCGGCACAACCACGATCCGTCTTACGTTATATGGTCTCTTAATTGTGCTGCGGGTGCTGCTTATTATACACCCAACTATAGCGAAGAGGTCACTGGGTTGGAACGGGATGGCCCCCAAATGTAGAGCGCGGCCGCCCTAGGCTGTGCCTATTTATCGTCTCATAGCGTATGGCTGCCTAGCTGCGTCCTCTAACTACCCAATTTCCCCTAAGTCAATACTTAACGTTCCAGAACATATTCGAGTCTCTATTATAAACAAGGGAAGTTCCCAGAATAATAGAACTGTTCTGGATTAACCCCGGTCATGGCTGGGTGCCAGCGCCCAACCTACCGGGCGGAAATCAACCGTGACGACATGGTCAGGAGCCTGACCTATAACTGCTATCCACCAAAGTCGTATTTATAGACATAATACTCCTAGATAGTAATAATTCTACTTCCTAACCAATTAGATCTCTACAGGAGCCTACCTGGTTCCCAAGTAGTGACTAGGAATTGTGCTACATTGCCGTAGTGGTAGCTGGCGGGGTAATCCTACTACCCAAAGGTTCCATCTACGGTACTCGATTCTTAGAACCAATTACATCACTAATTTCACTTCTTAATTCCTAATGGCCTAATCATTCTCTTTACGGTTAGTGAGCTACTAGAGATCAGACCAAAGCCCCATTGTAGTCACCAGAGCCACATTGTAGTGCCTGTGCAGTACACACCAGCTGACGTGCTTCTCAGCGAGCTCAGACCGCCGCAACATTTCCACCTTATTGTTTCTCTTTCCACTTTTCCAGCTTTTATAAACAGCTGCAGACTATCAACTGCTACATTAGCGTCGAAGTCCCCACATCACCCACAGGCACTGCGGCGGGCCTCAGTGCCGCCGACGCCTCTGCGAGCAGATTATCTGCAGCGGCAGCAGCAGCAACAACAACAGTAGCACCAATAGAAGTACAGTATACCTATTTGTACAGCCGTGTCATACGGCTGTACATCCCACTTCAGAGCTGCCGTTTGATTGCGGCCCCTTGTGGTTTGGCGGCCTCACTTTTTGAACCCTTTCATTCAGACAGTTTCCAGGTTTCGAGAGCTGCAGAATCACATGTTTGCTGCAACAAGAGCGGAACTAGAAGAATCTGCAGGAGCATCGGCGGTAGTTGTACAGGCGGGAAGGTCATATGCAGCAGCACGGGGGCGTCGCCTGCGGTAGCAGCACAAGCAAGACACCATATGCAGCAGCAACAACGGAAGCTTTCTCGGGAGCCCTAAAGGCTTCTTACAGTTCATAACGTGGGAGGCAATTGTGTGGCTTTGCTGCGGCAGCAGTAGCTGCTGCAGCAGGTGCTGTAGCAGCAACCCAGTCTGGAGAGCCTCCCAGTAGCCACGTGACAGCCTGCACTGCTGTCTGTCTTTTTCTGCTGCGGCAATTTGTTAAGCGCGGGTAGAAGCCTAAGTGCTGTTGCTGCTGGAGAGAGCAGCAGGGACTACAACAGCAGCACTAGCAGCAGCAGCCGCAGCAGCCGCAGCAGCCGCAGCAGTAATATCAGCGGGACAGCAGGAGGCATTCGTGCGATTGTCAGAGCCGGGTGGCGACTAGAGTGTTTGAATCATTAGGCACTCAGTAGAGTCGAGCAACCACTAGCGGCAGCCTAGGTGGAGTTTGCTGGCAACGGCAGGACCGAGCAGCACCAGCAAGAGCAGCAGCAGAGGCTAGCTTTAATAGCAACAAATCCCACACAGCAGCAACGATGTCTGTAAAACTTCGAGAATTTATTCGTCAAGTTCGGGCTGCCCGGACGGCAGCGGAGGAGAGGGCAGTCGTGGCGAGAGAATGCGCCCGAATTCGAACCAACTTCAAAGTAAGATGAGCATGGCGTTTGCCGGTGTTACTCCTTTACTTTTATCACGTAGTTTTGCCGTTACTTCTTCATTTTCTGCTTGCATGCCTCTTGCTAAATACGTTGTCTTTGCTTTATGCTTCCTTACCGTTGTTCATCATCTTGGATCATCGCTGTTTTTTGTCTCCTGCTTTTGCATCTCTCTGAGTATTACCGTGTTCTTCGTCGTTGACTTCCTTTTGCTTTTCTATTTTCTTCCTGATTATTCTGGTATTTCACATGTTTCTTCATTGTTATCACGTCCGATTTTCTTTTGCAATTGCTACTGTCTTTTTGCCTTCCTCTGTTGTTCATCTGTGCGATGCACGAGCTGCCTGTGCACACACGTTTAGATAAGGGGGACAATGAGGAGGTATTGCATGCAAGAGCAGCAGACAGCGGATGCCGAGACAGGCGTAGGGGGAGACGAGTGATGCAATGATAAAATATAGACAGGGAGCAAGATAGCCAAAGACAAGCACAAACAGAGAAGAGAAACAGAGCAGGAGCAAGGGAAAAGAGGGGGACGGGCATTCCCCCTCTTTTTAGCGCCGCGCGTACTTCTGCTGCTACCGCTGCTGCTGTTGCTGCTGCAGGAAGGGGACAATCGCCATAGGCACCGAGATGTGGCGAAGGTTTTGTTTATTTCAATGCTGGGATATCCTACGCACTTTGCTCAAGTTGAATGCATCAAACTCCTGGCCAGCAATAGGCGAGCCCTAAATGCGGAACCCTGAACCCTAAACTTTTTCTTCTTGTCTGTTTATACCCTGCCTCTTAAGCTTGTGTGCCTCTGCGTGGGGGTCGCCTGTATCGTTTGCCGTTGCCATATTGGTTGTTTTTAGATGCTGTTTGTCTGGACGGCGACACAGGGAAGGGATCCAATGTGTTCTAATTTTGGCTTGTCTGTCTGTCTCGTTTCGTGTCCAACTGCTCTGCACTGCGCATCAGTCTGCCCCGTGTGTCTGGCCCTCTCTTTTGTCGATCTGCTGTTTGAGTGCACCGCCTCATTCTCCTCTGTTCGCATTGCAAGAGGCCTGCTGACAGGGGGCGTGACGTGTATGGACAGTACACAGCGATGTAACGGTGTATGCGCAGCATTGTGGAGATGCATTCACAGCGATGCGGTGCTGGAGTGTGATGCTGCTGAGGCGTATATGCAGAGTTGTGTAGGCATATGGACAACGGTGCTTTGGTGTATGGGCAGCACTGCTGAGGCGTATAAAAGTGCCATGCTTGCGCCTTGTAGGTTGTGCTTTGTGTGTGTGGATAATTGTATATTTTTGTGCCTTTGTATATGTCTGTGTCCATTTGCGTGCATCTGGTTGTGTTTGTATATGTTTGCATTTGTATTTTTTGTAGTTGTGTGTAGTTGTACACGTTTGTGGGTGTGCAGGTACGCCGAGAAGCGGATCGGTTACTTGGGGCTGACCTTACTGTTGGACGACAGCTCTGAGGTGGCGATGCTGTCGACGAATTCTTTGAAGCAGGATTTGCAGCACACAAATCAGTACATTAACAGTTTGGCTTTGTCGGCGTTGGCAAATGGCTGCCCCCGCGAGGTGTCTCGTGCTCTACTGCCGGAGGTGGATGCGCTGCTCAGCTGCAGCAACCCTTTCATTCGCAAGAAAGCGGCCCTCGCTGCAGCAAAGGCTCTCCGTCGCCTGGGTGCAGAGGCAGCATCACTGCTCCATGCGCTGCCTGCCCTTTGCAACGACAGGAGCCACGGCGTCCTGCTAGGAGCATGCGGCCTCCTCTTCGCCATGTTCGACACCCAGCAGCAGGACGCAGCGGCAGCGCCAGCCAGTCAGCAGCTGTTGCAGCCTCTTGCCAAGGCCCTCAGAGCTTGCAGCAGCGCCACGCACCCGCAAACTGCTGAATACGACATCGCAGGGATCGTCGATCCCCTCCTCCAAGCTAGGCTCCTCAGGGCCGTCGCCCTGCTAGCACAAGTATAACGCAAACACGCAATGAACGAAGCAGTCGATGCAAATGCATATGCAGATGCTGGTGCTGCAAGTGCTGATGCTGCTGTTGTTGATGCTGTGGCCTTCGCTGTCACGGGACTGTTTCGGTGGCTCGCTTCTTTTAGGCTGTCTAAATGTTCTTGCTACTTCTGATGGTGGGATAGCGCTGATACTGCTGTCTCCACGGGAGAGCTGCCGTTGATGAATGTGTGACCTTAGTAGCACCAAATCTGTCACCAGACGCAGGAAGGGGAAGCTGTATGCATTGTGACTGCATGATTTTGGCTGGCTACAGTTGCTGTTAATTCTGCTTTTGCTACTACTGCAGGGGGACTCGGCCGCAAGTGCTGGGTTGACAGAGCTGTTGGCGCATGTCGCTACCAACACCGATGGAACGAAGAACGCCGGGAATTGCGTCCTCTACGAATGCGTGCGCACCATCGTCGCTCTAGAAGCTGATCAAGGTAAAACCATCGGCAGCAGATCCAGCTGCAGCAAATCGAGCTACAGCAAATGCAGCTGCAACAAATGCACTAGGTTGTGTTGCGTGGTATGTACAACAAATCGGCAATTTCGCTCTTGCCCGCTTTGAGCGTCGTCATCCCATGCAGTCTTGCTGATTGTCTGGCCGTTTACAATCTAATTGCTCTATTGTTTCATTTTCTTCCCTATTTATTTGCTTCGTTGTTTTTTTTCTTGATTACAATTTTGCTGCAATGTTTATTTGGTTTCTTGGTTTTCGTGTACTTTCGATTTGCGGTTCGTCTTAGGGTTGCGTGTTTTGGCGGTAAACATTTTGGGTCGCTTTTTGTCGTCTCGGGAGCCGAATTTGAAATATGTGGCGTTGGACACGCTGCAGCAGCTGCTGCACAAGGATGCAGCAGCTGTCATGAAACACAGAGAGACTCTCCTGGAATGCCTCAAGGTCATAGATAGCCCCACAAATACAGCAGCAGCTAATGCTACAGAACCAGCGCGAGCTGTAGCTGCTTCACGGAGAGATGCAATCACAACAGTTGCAGAACTTGCAGCTAATGCACCAACAGCAGCAACGGCACCATCAGTATCGGCAGTATCACCAGCAACCTAGCTGCTGTACTAGCAGCGACATCAGCAGTTTCAACAGTAGCATTTGCAGCGTCAACAACACCAAGAGCAACAGGAGCAGCATCGGCAGGATCAGCAGGGGCAGCATCAACAGCAGGAGCAGCAGGGTGTGTTTACAAAATGCATGCTTGTTTGCTCGTTCGTTTGCGTTGTTAGGACGGCGACAGTTCAATTCGACGTCGGGCTCTAGAGGTGCTGATTGCTCTCCTATCTGTGGAGAACATCTGCACGTTAGGTCGAGAACTCCTTTCGTTTTTGTTGATTTCCGAAAAAGACTTAAAGCCTTTTGCTGCTTCGAGACTTGCTGCTGCAACTGAAGCGCATGCACCTACGCGCCGTTGGCAGTTCGACGGAACACTCAAGTTGTTGTGTCTGGCAGGTACGTCTGGTCAAACAGTAAGTTCATTTCGACAATTTATTGCTGCATATTTAATTAATTGAGACGATAATTAATGGAGACGAGTGCGTGCAGACAGTCAATACACAACTGCACAACACACATACTCAAAGGGACAGACAATGCAACATATTAATGAAGAGAGACAAACAAGTCAGAGGACGAGTGCGGATAGGGATAAATATACAGAGATATACGAACGAGACAGAAGCGTGTGGCGGCAGAGACAGGCACACAGAAATAGACAGAGGCAGACTGAGGCAGAAAGACAGAAACAAAGGGAGAAATCGGCAGAAAGCGATAGACGGAGAGGGCGACAGGCAAATCTCCAGGAGAGAGGGAGGATCGATGGGGAGGCAGAGAGCGGCTGAGAGAGCCACGGATACGGAGAGACAGATGCAGATGGCACAGAAAAGCAGGCAGAGACAGAAATTGAGATAGAGAAGGAGACAGAGGGAGACCGAGAGCGAGGGGGGGATAGGGACAGAGACAGCCAACCAGAAATCGTCATAGTGTGGGTCGAGTTGTTTTGTTTTCCCCTCTTATTGTGGATGCTTTAATGGATCGTTGGTTGAGTTGCTATAGCATCATCATGCTGAAATGTGCCTTGGTCTTACAGGGAATTACCTCTCGGACTCAACAGGAAATCAACTGCTGTTGCTAGTCTTCAAAACTCCAGAGCTGCAGTCTTATGCTGTGCACAAGCTTTTCTTTTGTCTCCGCGAAGGCAGCGCCAGCAACCCCGTCCTAGCCAAGGTAACAAACCCTAAACCGTAAACCCCTGCACACGCCAAAAGTCATTTAGTTCCTCGCGACCCTGTCTTGCAATCGATGCATGCAGACGCTAGTTTCTGGGGCTTGGCGTTGAGGGTTGGGGATTCAGGGCTGAGGGTTTGGGGCTTGGTCGTTGAGTGCAGACAGCGCTGTACTGCGTGGGGGAGTTCGGGGAGATGCTGACTGCAACAGACAAATCGCATTTGCTGTCTAAGCAGCAGCAGCAGCACCAGCAGCAGGATCCCGCAGCTGCTGCTCTTGCACTAACAGCTGCTGATGTTGTCGACACACTGGAGCAAATATGCCACGCGCTACGCGGAGGCAAGCAAAGTGGGACGAATAATGCAGCAGGAGCTGCTGGTGCAGCTGCGGCTGCTGCTGCTGCGAACGGCTCCTCCGGTGTGGCTGAGTCGCTCATGACCTGCATGGCGAAATTGGCTGTCAAACTGCCGGAACAGGTGAAGACCATCAGTATGAGTAGCAGTAGCATCTGCTGCTACCGTTGTTGTTTTGATGCTGTTCGGGGTGGTGTTTTTGTTCTTGTGTTGTCCGTTTCCCCTTGGAGTTCCGTTTCGTTTCCTTTCTCTACCTGCCTGTCGGGCTGTGTGCGGAGATCTGCTGTTGTGTGTGCTTGGTGCTGCTGTTGCAGAGGGGCCGGCTGCTGCAGCTGCTGCAGTCCTTCAACACCAGCAGTAACTTGGAAGTGCAACAGCGGAGTACAGAATTTGTTACGCTGCTCCAGTCGCCAGACTGGTCGCCTGAGGACTTAGCAGCCCTTTTTAGTCGCATGCCGCTACAGCAGCAGCAGCAGCAGGTGCAACAACAGGAGAGGCCCATTGGAGAGGTATACTTCGATTTAGCAGACCTACCTCCTGAGCCCGAAGCAGCAGCAGCAACAGCAGCGGCAGAGACGTCTTTTCCAGGTGTCTCGACAGCTCCCCAGCAGCGAACTGCCAATGGCACCACAGGTGGTCCGTCTTGCTTTACCCTTTTGGCTGCTGTCCGGCATCATGTTTTACTCCTCAAAACGTTTTCCGGTCCATTTTTATCTTTTGTGCTCCTTTGATTCCGTTTGTTTGCTGTCTTTTATGTGTTGCTTGCTGTTTGTCCGCTGTTTGTTGGCTGTTTGTCTTCGCACCAGCGTTGCTATTCGCTTCTTTTGGGGCTGTATTGTTGTCTTCGTTTTTATTTTACGCTTTGTCTCGCCAATTTTCTGATTTCGGTTTGTTCTGTGCCTGTTTATTTGTATATTCATCTGTCCTTCATATCCATTATTGTTTGTCGACTGATTGTCTCGGCTTCGCCGAGTTCCATTGGTTTCTCTTCTTAGGTCGTCTGTCTCTGTCTGTTTGCTGCTCTTCAGCTATTTATTTGTATGCACCTACGTGTATTTGTTTCTCTTTGTCTGTTCCACCGTCTATATTTATTTAGTTGTCTGTAATTGCCTGCTTGTTTATCCGTCGTTCTATTCGCCCGGATTTATTCTTCTTATTTGTTTTCTTGTTTCAGCTTACTTATGATTGTCTTTTGGATCATGCCAGTTCACTTGCCATTGCTTATTTAACTCTCCTGATACGCTTGTCATCGCGTAGTTGACTTAAATTTATTTGTGCTTATTTGTTTCCTGATTTACGTGCCACAGTTTGTCGAGTCGTTTCGATCAATGCTTTTAAATTAGGTTGTTTTTGTCTGCCATTCTTAATTTATTTCACTTTTTGCGTGTTCGTCTGAATATATTTGCCTTCGTTTGCCTTTCGTTTGCTCCTTCCTCAGCTCAGCTGCTGGAACTCGACGATCTTCTGGGACTCTCCACGTCTCCACCCGCCTCCAAGAGCTCCCCCTTACCAGTTGCTGCCAACACCAGCAGCAGCAGCAGTGCCGGCGGTTTGGATTTGCTGGCGGACTTGCTGGCTGGCGCTTCTGTATCCTCTAGTGAGGCCAACCATAAGGCAGCAGAACAGCAAAGCGCAGCAGCATCACCAGCAGCGGCAACAGCAGGGGCCCCCACACCAGCGGCGGACCCATTTTCTGGACTTATTGACCTCGCAAACCCATTGCCTACAACAGCAGCAACAGCAGCAGCACCAGCAACTCTTTCCCCTCCTGCAAGCATGAGCTCAGGGGAGCCCCTTCCTTCTTTGTTGGAGTCATCCCTGCGCCCGCTCAGCCCTTCAGCAGCAACAGGAGCAGCAGCAACACCAGTTGCATCTGCCGTAACAGCAGCGGGAGAGGGCTCGTCGGCCCCACTTGCACTTACCGCAGCGATAAGCCCCCCTTCCCCAGCAGCAGCGGCAGCCACTGCAAGAGCAGCATCCCCTGGAACAGCAGCAGCAAGTGTGGGGCCAGACGGTGTCGCTGCAGTGCAGGTGCTAGACGAAGAAGGACTGAATATCCTCTTGAAATGCCGCCGCGCGGGATTGGGGGTCTGCGAGGTGACGGCAGAGTTCGCTGCATCAGCCAGCAGCACAGTGCTCCAACAATTCCGCTTCGAAGCTGCCGTCCCCAAATACCTGCAGCTGCAGCTCGAGCCCCCGTCTGCAACAGACGTGCTCCCGGGGGGCCCTCCGGTGCTGCAGCGCCTCCGTGTCAGCTCTTCCCCAGGAGGTGCTGCTGCTGCCGTTGCTGCAGGGAGTCCGACAAGACCTCAGGATAAGCCTCTGCTAATCAAGTGTAGGGTCACATATTTGAGGGAGGGGCTGACCGTTCAAAAGAGTACAAAGGTCGCTTCGTTTCCTTCCTCTTTCTTGGACTTGGACTCATAGGGGAGCCTGTAGGACATCAAGGGAGACCACAAAGTACCCCTGGGCTTCTCCAGGGGCATCTAGAGTCATCCAGGGACTTTTAGTCTCCTCGAGGGGTCCTGAGGCATCTACATGCCTCAGGACTATGTGCCTCTACGGTTCTACGTGGTCCGCCAAAGTTCTCTAAGGTCCAGCGGCCATCGAGGGACCTAGCACTGTCTTGTGGATCTCTATAAGTCTCTGCATGCACCCCGAACGGCTGTAGAGCCTCTTGGGTGTCATTTGCGCACTTCAGATGCGTTTATGGGCACTAAGGTTCTAACACGGCCTCCTTAAATTTTGAGGGGCAACCGACAGGACGAGCTCGGGTCGGTGAGAGAGGGTGTGCATTGTTTATGTCAAAGTTAGTGGTATATCCAGTAGTGAATCCCGTGTGTCTTATGTTATTTCATTGTTTTGGTGGATTTGGGGGTGATCGGTTTCTTGAAGGGGTCGGGATCGGATGGATAGGCTGCACTGTAGGGAGGCAAGGACTACTGGGAACTGTAATGGAGCCCAACACTTAAGGCAAGACACACGTAGAAACAGTTGAACTTCCTCGCCAGTCATCTGGCGTTCTAGGCGTAGCGGCCCAATTGCTCGCAGCTAAGCAAGAGGCATCAGTGTCAGAGTTGCGACGCACCTTGGTGCAGCCCACGCAAGAAGACAGCCCGTCATACAAGCACAACCGCATAGTGTTTGCACCATTCGCTATCAATATAAGGATTTCTTGACGACTTCTGCTTGCTGACCGGCTTCCTCCTTGTGGGCAGCCTACCACGGTTGAGTACCTTCATGTTGCTAACTGCGGACAGACAATGCGATAGCTGCCGTTGTAACGCCTTGGTCGGCGGTCCGCTCTACTTGCAGCAGAGCAGCGACCTCTACTCCTAGGTATCGACAAATCTCTTGCTTTTTGAGCCCAGTTGCCGTTGAGTTATTAAAAAGAGTTCCCAAACATGTTCAAGTTATACGGCCACCTAGGGAGGCACCCAGCAACCATAACGGGACTGACTGTAAGGGAAACAATCCCGCCACCGGTGCCTCCAATGGTTCTAGCCAGTATTTCAAACAACTGGGAGAAACCAAACCGAGAGAAGACAATGCTACCCTGCTTTAGCAGGGCTGACGCGGTCGTCCCTGCACAGCGGGTCCGCTCTAGAGTCATATGGTGCTTTCTCTACTGTAGATTCAGGATTCCCCTTCCTTATATCATGCATAATCCCTTTTCCTGAATGTTAGGCTACTAAAAGCCCTAATTCGCAAATATGGTGATGCTTACTCCGCACCCGTACTACCACTGTCATCCGCCGACCCCCGGCACCAACCGAGTTACACCTCCCTAGGTATGCTGCCCCTAAACCATGGTAATACCGACCCCTTTCTACTAACAATTTATCCCAACTTCTAACATGTAGCATTACATTCGCCCCTGTCAGACTTACACTCACATCACATTCCTCAAGACCTATTGTAGTGTAGTGCACTACAGCCGTGCAACAAAAATCCTCCTTAACACTGATGCTTCGCTTTAGCCCATGGGATTTCGCCTATGGTTAGCATGCAAATTGCAGCAGCAACCCAGAGAGTCCTGCATGTTTAGTAGTAGTGACAAATGGAACAAAGCCAACACTTTTGCGCACATGGTTCACCCAGTGCTGCATACTCGGGCAGACGAAACAGTTATATGCACTGCTCATTTCACCCCCTTCCATAAACGGCAAAAGACATGAACGGCAATACTTACTGCATGAAGGTAAACCGAGAGAAGGCAGCAGTTGGCTTTCTTACGGCCCCTAGCGGATTTTTGGGGCTGCCAATTAGAAATCAGGAGGGGAGTGCGTGGTGGAAGTATCACTTAGAACTCAAACTGAACAAAAATTGAATTTTGTTGCGGTTTTCGGTTGTTCTTCAAATCTGTGGTTGTGGTGTTTTCTCTGTTGCTCATGCGGCGCCTGTAACAGGAATGCCTTTTCCGTTCTGTGGCCAAAGGCCACTGTGGTTCAGCAGATCAAATTAGCGCTTTGGTTTACTCATTCCTTAGAAACATTTAAGCATTTGGACCCGTGTCAACGTCGGAAGGCCTCAACTTGCCGTTGTTCCGTTGGGTTGCTTCGTCTTCCTCGCCCCCCATAAGCTTCGGAAGCCATTTAAACGCGCTGGCCAAAATGTCGTATATGCTGCAACATCTTCATTCTGGGTGGCAAGTGGTACGTTGTGTACCAATTTTCGTTTTTTTTTATTGGCCCCATGTTTCTGGCTGGCAACCGTTGCCTCTACTTTTACGTTGTCACAGTAATGCGAGGGCCTACCCGGCTTCTCCCGATAGTGTACTTCACCATCTGCTCGTCTATGTGTCGTATGTTGGCTTAAGGCTGTAGAGTTTAGAGTTTAGTGACTCATTTATATCCGCATCGGGGCGATTTAAAGGAGTCTCTCCGACTTGCCTCTGAGTTGCGCTGCATGCAGGACCAGGCCATCCTTACAGAAGAGGAACGCCTTGTGGTAAGTCAACTCCCAAATGACTGATGATGGGAGTTCAACTGAACGCAAATGCTGTCTGCCCATTGCATTATTCCCGTACCGGTCCACCTTACTTCCCCAACGCCTGTATTGTGAACACGGCAAAAAAAGGCGATTTCTTCTGCACAGTGTTGTGTCCATTGCTACGAAAGTCCTTTTTCTCATCCGCTCCACCCATATTGTTATTATACCACCGTAACACAAGTTTTACTTTGCGTAGCGCTGGATGTCTTGTTCCAATTTGCGTTGCTCGTGTTTGAAGTGTATCCGCTTCGGCCACGACTTCGACCCCGAGTGCATGAAAATGGACGAACTTCTCTTTAAAGTGGCAGAGGATGTCAAAAACTTTTGCGTTATTTACGTGGTGAGAGACCCACAGATACCCCAGAAGGGACTTTCGCGGAACCATGGCCTTAAGATGTTTTTAGTATCGTTACCCCCTCAGTGTACTTGCGTTGATTCCTCTTTTTATAATGCATTTTACATGTATTGTACTTATTTTGCCACTGCTTTCGGCGTGTTTCTTCAAGTACTGTATCCTTAGATTGCATCTTTCTTCTTTCATTTTGACCTTGCGGTCTCGTCCCGGTTCTTGTCTGTTTGTCCCTGTTGCATTCTACGAGTTGTCTCTTTCAGATGTCTTGACGTGTTGCTGCTGAAATGCGTGGCAGGTGGATACAACGGAAGTGCCTGATTTCACGACGATGTACGAGTTGTATGACCCTGTAACAGTGATGTTCTTCTACCGGTGAGGTTTTTGCAGCATTCGCTTTCTGGTCGAGGAGACAAGTTTAGAAACTCTTGTTCTGATTGCCCCGTCTCTCTTAACCAAGAGGGAAGTGCATTAAACACCGGGGAAGACAGAGGAAAAGCAAGCAGCGATTCGGTGTGTCTGTATGCAGGAACAAACACATGATGATTGACCTTGGTACGGGGAACAACAACAAAATCAACTGGGCCATGAACAATAAACAAGAACTCATTGACATTATTGAATGCATCTATAGAGGAGCAAGAAAAGGTATCTGCAACAGCAATTATCAGGCGCATACCACCTTACCAGACTTCAGGAGTCTCTTCGTTGTTGAACTGCCTAACTGCGGTGTCCATATTTTTTTTTCAGGCCGAGGTCTGGTAATTTCCCCCAAGGATTACTCAACAAAATACCGCTACTGAACCCTGCGCGGTGTGTTCCGCATCGTTGGGTTGCTTTCTTCAGAACACTAACTTTATTTAATTGCCTAACCCAACGGTTTACTGCAACGCAACCTCTCTGCCCTCTCAACGGCAGGCGTTTCCTGTGATGCGGCGCTTTGCTTGCATTGGCGTTTCCCTCCCGGAATGTTACAATCCTCAGAGGGCCAGGCTCAGTACCTTACAGTACTTTGTCTTCGGCTGTCTTGCCAGGCGCTGCCCTGGCAGAAGGTTGGGAGTTTATTGTCGCTTCTCCTTTTTAGTGGATTTGTTGGGGGACGGTTGGAGCGCAAGAGTGGCATTTACTCTTGCGGTCGGTTCCTTTTGTTTGTTCCTGGTTTTCGGGTGTGTTTCCTTTACTAGTTTACGAGTGCTTGCTTGAACCTTCTGCACGAACTCGTCTACAGGGAACTTGCGCCTGCAGCCTGATAAGTTCATATAGCGGATTTTTCCAAAGACGGGCCGCTCTGCCCAACCTTGATCGTGTACTCCTGCCACACTCCACATGCACCCGACGATGCCGTTGGGGTCTGTTCCATCCAGCGAAAACTTATCATTTAAATGCAGAGCCGCCGATAGTGCCTCCTGGGCTGACGGGCTCCACTCCAGTATCTTCTTAGCCCAATACATGCGCAGAAAGCCGTGCATCTTCCCAACGTGAACGAGCTGCAGCTGCGCGGCGTTCCAGAGAACGTCATGGGTCTTAGCTGCTTCAAACTGTGCGAGGGAGTACACGTACTCCCTCTTGTCGCCTCGGTGCGCCTCCAGAGTCTCTTGCGCCCACCTGGGGGCCCCTTCAATCTTGTCGTAGGCGCCGTTGTAAAAGGTGAAATTCTCTGCTAATTCCCGCCGCACCACAAGCTCTTCAATGAAGGATTCTCTCCCTGCTGCCGCCGCCGCCCCAATCTTCGTTGCAGGCCCCAGTGCACGAACAGCTAACAAGCAACGCTGCGCTGCGATCTGCCCGAAGTGCAGCCAGGGGGAGAGCCCACTTTGTGTGTTCAGCAGTGGATTGTTCCGTGAGGGGTAGGCAGCCAGGCGCTGCTGCGAGCAGAATGCCTTGAGGGCGGCGAAGCCCCCGGCAGCCCCCGGCACCCATTGCGGAGGCAGCTGCACTGCCTCGTCCACTTGTGGCTGCTGCTGGAGGATGTTGGCGATGCCCCCCTGCAACGCGCTGCTCGTATGGGGGTGCCGCTGTAACTCCGGAAAGTCGCAACCAAATTCCTCTAAGAGGGACATCACACGAGGGCGAAATGTCCGCGCCGCGTACTGAAAACACAGTGTACATTAAAATATACACTTGCACGATTATTTAGGTGATAGAGCATTATAGAAATACACTACCAGCCTATGCACATTAGAAAATATGTTCTATACTGTATACATACGTATCTGTAAACTGTGCGCAATAGTATAGAACGATGGTTGTGTATATAGACGTATGCCAATCCGTGCGCAAGCACAAGTGGTGTGTAGGCACAACGCCGACGAGTACACGACAGAAAATGTGTGTGGGGAGAGGGCGCCCATAGACCACATCAGTAACTGCTTGTACTGATGTTTGTCTATACACGGCCAGTACAGCAGAAGTTATTTAAAACAGCACAATGAATCTCAGGAGAAGATGAATGCGGCAGCAACAGCGCCAGCCCCAGGCTGCTTCATTCACTTCAAGCCGTTTGATGTGTCAATGCAGTGTTGCTACACCTGACGAGATAGGCCACTTTGTGTGCTGACGTAGGAGGCGCCTTTACCCGTCTTTGTGCCTCCACATGTAGGCGTGCATATTTATAGATATTCATATATGATATCGTGTATTCGCACATCTGCATATGCTGGTGCACAAAGTGTTTATGTGCACACAGATGTACAAGCATGCAAACAAATATGTGCTTTATATGGAAATGCAGGTGTGCAGCTCAGCGTGGGTGTGTTGCTGGCCTCTTGCTGGTGGGAGGCTAGCCAGACAGGCACGACGTTATGGGCGTCCGTTTGATACAGAGGACACCGCATCACCTCCTTGCAAACAAATCCCAGCTCCTTCACAAACGCCGCCGGCAATCTAAAGCAGCAAACCAACTAAAAGACAGAAGGCAGATGCATGGGGCCTAATCAGAAGCATGTATACGAGCAGCGTGCAGAAGCATGCAGAAGCATCCATGCAGTAGCTGAATTGTACGCAACTATGCTCTCTTCTGGGTTATTTTTTACTAGTGGAGCAATTCCCTGTTCTTCTCAGACTGCTGTATTACATACTTCCGCCCCTCAGCTCAGCACCAGTCACGCAGTCACGCACCTCAGCGGCATCAAGTCGCAGACTACAAGTCGTGGGTTCAGCTGCTGAAGAGCGCGCTTCAACCGGTCCGTTGCTTCTGCTGCAGCAGCGGAAGCTTCTGCAGAGAGCAGCGGGAAGCAGTGAAAAGGGATGTTGTGAGATGTGAGGCCGACGGCGAGTTCTTGAACGCCTTGAAGATGGAATTGCAAATGACGAGTGGTGCGCTGGAAAGAGCAGCCCGGAGCTACTAAATGAAGCACGTGCAATGGCTTCTCGAGAGATAAAGCAGCATCCTAAATGGCAAAACACGCACGCAGTTGCTGGTGCAGCAGCTGCTCTCCGACGCAGGTGCGCTGCTCTTCCTTGCGCCATCGAAACAGACAGAAGCAGGAGCCAGAGCCCCTTCGTATGCACTTCTGTGGAGACTTATTTGTCGTAATTGCATGCCTCTGCTCACAGACGAGCAAACAGGAGGCGGCTGCGAACCTGTGCAAATAGCAACGCCCAGTTGTCTTGAAGCCGCAAGTCCCGCTGCAGAACACAAACGACACTTTCCCCTGAAGACTTGGGTTCTGTCAGAGGGGTCGTCACACAACGGACCCTCCGGCTGTCTACGGTTCCCCGCAGCCACGTTCCACTGGCTGCTGGGAAAGCAGTTGATGTAGAACAGCAATTTGGTGGTGTATGCAACCCCTTGCAGGCATCCAAGGAGGGCTTTTGGTGGGCCTTGGTTTCTCCCCCTGAAGGATTTTCAGTAATGGGAACATTGAAATGCACTCTTTTTCTTTTGGAACGTCCGGACACCTGCTCCTCATGCCGGTCAAGTGACTGCATTTCCATTGGTCACCTGGAAATGCGACTTTCGCTCGTGAGGAAAGACCCACTATGGTTCTACAGGGATTTTTCTAAGAGAAATGCTCCAAGCCAATGAAATTAAACAGGTTAAATGAGGTTTTCAAAGGTACTGAGGCACATGAATGAAACCCGTTCGCGGATTGTGACAGCACAGGGCAACACCAAGCCGACCGTGGCCGACACCCCTCGTAGTATTCGTTCACGCGAAGATGCATTCACTGAACATTTATACTGCTTTGTCTAATTGATTTGGCTGTATGGGAAACGTACCTCTGAGTCTTCCAGCTGTCAAGAGAACCCCGTCCCCACGGGGCAACCCAGAATCTGGCAGACACCAGTGCAAATTGCTCATAGGCTTCATCAATTCTCCTCAGCGCATTCATCCTGCTCTTCTAGTGGCCACATTTCTCCATTTGTGTCATTTGTCGACCAACTATTATTCAAGTTTAGTCAATGCGGGCATAGAAACCCCTAGCTTGAGCACAGAATGTAGATAATGTGTGGTTGTCTGACGGTTGCCATGAATGCCTGCGTACACCTCGGCTGCTGCTGCACTTCCCGTCCACTGCAAACTAATATGCAGCATACGAGTCTCCCCAGTGAACTGCGTTCAGCTAAGCGAGCACGACATACGTCGCCCTCCATCGCTGCAACAAGACAGTCTCACAAAACGATAGGAAGTATATTAAAGTTGATGTGAAGTGTCTGGTGAGGCTCATTGCGACTCATTCTGCGTCCTCTCTCCATACACGTTGCCTTCTTTCACTGCGTATATCCATGAAAATTCAACTGGGACCACCCAAGGAATGAATTTTCAATCATCTGACGCTAGATATGGGAACCTCGGAACGCTCGTAATGTGCGTGGAAATGCAACTACACGCAAGACGGGAACCTCCGACTGGCCTCCATTTTAGCCATATCGGATTCGGACCACGCTACAGAGATACAAAACATTAAGGTGCTCCTTAGCTGCATGGAGAAAGGGCACATTTGTGATTTTACGAACCATCGACTCTCACGTAACAGTTGTATATGCGGGTGCTGCTACTGTCTTACACTTCCGGGCTGAACACAAGCACTCACCTTGGCCAAGTATGTAACAGCCAAGCCCTCATTAGTTGGGCCCAAGAAGTTGGTATCGACTCCACGTTGCAGTTCAACAGGCGCACACGAAGCCAATTGCTACAAGTGTACACCCTAGTTGTCATATGTAGTTATGCAACAAAGTGGTGTATCTGTTGCCGGAGTGCAGCGGAATATATAAAAACTGGTAACCGAAGTCAAACGATGAGTGGGATGCACGACACTGCAGGCTGCCAAGTTGTTGGTGGACTGATGAACTGGGAGAATTCGAAACTGTCGCATGCCCAAAACCGTGCAGGGGGCAACTCGATCAAGAGGTATATTCTATTCCTTCGCTATACATGGATTGTTTCCAGACAAGCTAGTTGGCAGTTTAACTTTGTCTCCCCCTACCAGTTCTTCCACTTTCCCCTCAAGTTCCTCTTCAAGATTGAGGAGCTTCCTGTAACTTTGAAGGAAGCTTGTGGCTGCGCCTCGAATGGCTTTCATGAAATGTACTGGGCGTCCAGCGGGTTCCCGGCCCTCGGGAAGTCCCTGGTTGTTTGGTGCATAGAGGAGGTCTTACTCCAACTGTTTCTAGTTGTGTGTATTATTTATCGAGTGTCAAGTGGGCTAAGTTTCCACAAAGGTCTGCTGTTTTCTCTAGACGATCACAAGCGAATAAGCTCACTTTTTGGTGGTTTCCTGCACCACATCTGCGCTCCGTAGTGGTACCTTCACTACTTCAATCTTGATTATTCTACTCTTGTAGTAGAGGGTTTAAGTTTTGTTTGGGGGGCTGAGACTTGCATTATCTAATTGTTTGTCGACACAGAGGCATCAATGGTGTTTTCTGAAGCAAGCAGGAGGCCTGTTAACCGAGCTACCCACAGCAGGCGGAAGACTATGCCGTGGCGAAGTGGTCTACATAGAATCACCGCATCGAAGCAAAGTGACAAGTTGCTGAATGGGCCGCATTGATCTCCACTGGAATTTCGTACGTTTGCTTATCCTCGTCTCGTCTCTTCATTTGCAAGGCCTAGTAGCAGCGAATGCGCCCATGAATAGAGCGTCAGGCTGCCCCTCTTCACCGTACCTTCGCAGAACATACCTAACTAGCAACCTCCCAAAACTAAATCTAGCAACTCCTTACAGACGGAACAAACTTGGGTAAGCACGGAGTTGACACGATGATGGCCTGACGATGCGGCTGCCACAACTCTTGGCCCACATCGGCGGTTAGCTCTCTCCCTTATTGCCGTGGCGATTTTCCTAGCGACGTCTCTCAGAGTGTCATTGTCTAGTTTTGTCAGCTAACCACCTTATTTCATACTTCTGTGAGCACATATGCTACCCAAAGTATCCCTATGCCTTCTGTGTACGGAGTTAACAGTCTGCCATCTCCTCTAACCTCTAATTGTTTTCTTAGCGACTTTGGCGTTCACATAAGAAATAATCATAAGCTGTGTATCTGGGTGTTCTACAAAGCAGTGTTCTGTCTTCTCGACTAAGGAGGTAAAACTCCAACACTTTTCGCTTTATTTATTAAGTGCTCCATTTCCTCGGTGAGTTCAACCATTTTTCTCACCCCCCACTTTGCTGCCAAACGAGTCACGGACTGCCCGTTTCCAGTTTACAACAAGGGCCATTGTTATGGAATGCTTGAGTTTGCCGTTGGACTTTTTGATTATTAAGGACAAAAAATTCGTAATTTAGCGTCTTGTCGGTGGCTTTCACCATTGCTTGTTTTCTTGGCAACCTAGGATCAACCTAGGCTGCAGTTCAGGGCGGGCAACTTACGGGGTCTGAACGTGCTCTGAAAAAACGGTGAGGCTGTTTGGAGACTAGCCACAGTTGTCTTACCTCGCCTTCTAAAGGAAATGATAGCAAGTGCACACAGAGTGACGAGCGACGAGCAAATAGGAAAGAAAAAGAAGCGTGTTTTCAGAGAAGCGGAGGCTTCCTTCGCTGCCTGCCTCGTGGTGTTCGCCGTACTTGAGCCATCATAATGGGGGAAGGTACAGTTTACAGAAATATTCAGCAAGAGGAGATGAGTACACATTCCAGTGCGACGGGGTGTCCAGCACCTTGTGGCCTCCTCAACGTCTGGAGAGTAATGATCTGTGCCCAGTGTGAAAGATAAAAAAGCTTGCACTCTTGGCACATGTTTTGGAGGGAGTCTCAACAAGCATTTCGCACGGTGTAACTGTGTACCGTGGGTCCTTTGGATTCCCCAAGGTCTATTGAAATATGCAATTCAGCCAATTAGTCAAGATAAGGAGCTCCTTGAAAGCAAGTAATCCCCGTCGCCAGTCTGCAGGCTGGCAGACTGGCGACGGGGATTACTTTCAAGGAGCATAGACGTAGTGAACCAAGCGGTTGCCTATCGAGTGTTGCGACTCACCAGGCAGCAAGACAGTACAGTACAAGCACAACGCGCTACTGTTTGTTGCAATCACTAGTGCAGTAGTGAGTTGTTGATGACTTCTGCTTCATATCATGTTTCCTAGATGTGTGCAGGCTTTGTCTTAAATCCGACTAAGTGTTCATGGGCCAATTAAGGCAAAACTATGCTCACAACAAAGTGCCTTTGCAGATCTTTTGCGCTCTGCAGTAGGCTAGACAGCTCTGAATATGATGCTTGCTGCTCGTGCTTACAACGAGGAACCATCTGGTGTCCTCTAATCCACGAACAGCCCCCATCTTAGCCTAGAACTGTCACGAGCTGCAGCAGACTCACTGGAGCATTTCTTCCCGAGAATAGTTTTAACCTTAAGTCTAAGTTCCAGGAGCAAAACACACCACCGTAGGAGGTCCTGTAGGTGCTTGGGAGACGCGTCCTGTCATGCGTTGCACCGTAACACATGCGTGGCTCCTGCAGCGACTCTGGGACTGGAACTTGTCCCACTACTATTGTGAGCTGCAATACAGCCAAAATAATTGAGGTGAAAATTTCTCAAAAGCACTTACACTCCATCCCTAGTCTCCAATGTTCTGAGCGCAGCGGCTCAAATACCTGGAGCTGCGGAAGAGCAGGCAGCAGCGTTACATTTCTTTCATCGCAGCGTGCTGCTGCAACTCAGCGTTCTAGACAGTCACACTTCTGCATGTACGAATAATGTAAACCATTGCTGAGGACAACTGTTCGGGTAACGTTTGCTGACTAGGTTCGTTTGTTGATTCTTCCGCCAACGGCAGGGGGCCCAACATTTTGCAGATAATGCTGCACCTGCTCGGCGACTTCGCGGGGAAGTACTCTAGCGCGATGATGAGTTAAAACTGCAGACAATTCTTGAGCAGTCACATTGCTTCCAGTAGCCCTTTTGGACACAATTAGAATTACACGTAACAACTATAGCCATACCACAACCGAACACCCTGAGGAGCCGCAACGGCGCGCCCAGGCGCCACACTCTACAATGCTGCTTTCCTTGCTTCCGGTTTGCCACATTAAACTATTCTATCCTTCACTGCGCATTTAAAGGGTCGCTTCAGTGAGGGCAGAGCGGCTAGAGTAGCACGGGCTTCCTGCCCCACAATGCGAACCTTTCCCCTTCCGGCTCTAGAGGCGAGAAGAATGAGCATGCTTGCATAATCTTTACTTTTTGTGCTCGAATAAAAACTGTATTCATTGGAAACACCCTTTTCCGCCGGTGAATAGGGCTATACAACGGGAGAGGGACACATGGGGGGCGCCCGTTGTCCTTAGGGCTGGTGGCGGCGGTGGTGGGGCTTTTCTTGACCAACAGAAGTGGAGTGGCCAAGCGTTGCGTTTTGCATGTCCTTTCTCGTGTACTGCAGCGTGTTTTTTCACGGTTTTTTGTGTTTCTTGCATGTAAAACTTGGGCAAACAAAGGAGCAGACGGGTCATTGTTGTTCCGTTTGCCGTAGTGGGCCGCATGGTGCTGCACCCCACGGCGTGTCCGAGTTAAATTCACGCAGCTTCCTCATGCCCTTTCTGCTGCGTAGAGGTTATTATCAGATTTTACCAGTTGTGGCTTTAAAATGCAGTCCAAATTCTGGGCCGCCGGGGCAGAGTCCTCCGAGTCCGAGTACACCTCGGAAAGCGATGATCAGGAGCAGACGGTACGCGCCCCCACTTCTTGGATTCTTTTGCATCTGCTGTTCACATTAGGTTTTGTAAATTTGCACACGTAAAGAATTAGCGTAGACACAATTACCTGTCTATGCAGACACACTGCGTTGCCGAGGTATGCGCGGGCGCACTAGGTGTCTGCGCGCCACGGAGTGTGGCGGGATCATGTTAACGCTTTGCGTTTGGGTCATTTGCATGGTTGTAGGGGCTATAATGTTATTTATTGGACAATGCCGAGGGGTCGTGTGACTATGCCACCATTGGTCTCGTGTTCTCCCGATTACTATGAATGCGTGTGTTTTGTTTCTGTTCGTGTGTTTGGATGGGGCTTTTCCGAACTGTTAAGCTTTTTAAAGTCTCATGTGCACGCATGTATGTACTTGCTTTCGAGCTCAGTTCGCTCACCATTTCATTTCGTTCCTCGGAGTGACGGTGAATCGAACCTCTTGCGGATTTTGTGTTTTGTGTTCAAACAGCAGCAGCAGAAAAAGCCAGTAGCGGCTCCGTCTCGCTGGGCAGCAGCGGAGACGTCTTCAAGTGACGATGAAGGCCGGGTAGTGAAGAGCCTCAAGGACCGCCGGTGGGGCGCCATGAGAGAAGTCATCCGCCAGATGGAAAATCACATGAAAATACTCGACTTTGCTGAGCTCGGGAAGGGTAGGCCTGTAACTAAGTCTGCTGGTTTATTTGCTATAGCATTCCTGCTAGTGTCGCTGCCTTTTATCCACTTCTGTCTTGTCTGCTTCTTCGTGTCCTTGTTCGTGTTGTTCCTTTGTTGGTTCTTTCATTCATGCTGACGCTTCGCCTATCTGGTTTATTCGTTCCTCTGCAATGCATGCTCTGGCCCGTTGTGCTTTTGAGAGTGGAGCGGGTTGCCTTGTCTGCCTATTGCGATGCTTCTACAGACTACGAGACGCTGCTGAAGAGCTACAGCAAGGCTCACCAGGTGATAGAGCAAGAAGGGGTCCCGAATTTTTTCATTCGTGGTCTAGTGGAGCTGGAGGGATTTATTGAGGAGAAGTTGAAGGACAAAGAGAGCTTCAAAAAGCTATCGAGACCCAAAGCACTGGCACTTAACACTCTCAGAGCGAAAGTTCGCAAAACAACAGAGCCTTGGGCCGCCAGCATTTCAGAGTGCAAAGAAAACCCGGAAAAGTTCGAAACGCAAAGCGAGGAGTCGGATGAGGCGGATGTAAGTCGAATTGTGGGGAGATGAAATTCGTGGAATTCGCTCCCCTTTGCTTTATTGTGAGTTGTGCTGTTAAGTCGTAATTTTGTTTTGTCTCAATGGTTATGTGCCTGACACTTTCGACCCGGCTTTTTTTTGTTGTATAGTGCCATTTGCCTGTTTACCTCCGTTTTCTTTACTTGCCTGTTCTGGCAGTCAGTCGTGGTCTGCATCATCTGCAGTTAGTTTGGCTGTTGTTGAGAGGGCGAATTTGTGCGTGTCTCCCTAGCCGTTGTTGGATATTACCGTGTTTTTCTTGTGGTGCAGTCGGATAGTGATTTCAGCGAAGACGAGAGCAGCGAAGAGAGCGAAGTGAGTGAAGACAGCAGCGGCAGCGACTCTGAAGGGGAAGGCAAAGAGCGCAAGGAGAAGGCAGGTGGTTCTGATGATGGCAGCGACTGGTCCGACTCTGAAGCTGATGATGAGAGTCAGGGTGAGGTCGAGAGATTCAATTTCAATCGAGTCTATTATTTCACTTCTGCAAGGGACAAAGAGAGGGCGGCTCTCCTTGTGTCGCTTCTGGAACCGGCTGTTCAGGCGGCAGTGCTGTCGTCACATATCCGCAGTGTATAGAGCCCGAATCTAATGTTCATTGTTGGACTGGATGCAGCTGAGGTCCACAAATATGTTGCAGCTCTGATGAGTATTTTGAGCCTTAGAAGTGCACAGACGGCGGTCTGTGGAGACCGAGAGAGGGACTGCAGCTGCAGTTGTTTATCGATTCCCTGACACGTGCTGGTGTCCGAGCGTAGTAATTCCGTTTGCACTTTATCTCTTCAGCCCAGTTGGACAGCATCTCCTCCTCGTGACTTTATTCAGCATGTTGTGGCTTTGAATAGGTCCATTTGCTCTTTTTTGAATGCTGCGTTGGAATGCGTGATAATAACGGGTATTTGTTTTGTAACTGCTGTGGACCTAAACAGGAGAGGAGGGAGACCGTCAGAAGGATGCAATGGCGAAGTGGGGAGTGCGGGAGGAGAGCGAGCGGAAGCGAGGAAAATCCTCAAAAAAGAAGAGTGGTACGAAAGGAACGAAAACAGCAGCAAAGGAAGTCTCCCAGAGTCCAACAGATGCAGGTTTCTCTACAAAAGACATGGAACATCTGTTCGATAGCACCGATATTAATGAAGAGGTGATCGCGAAGCGCGTGCAGATGGTGGTGGAAAAGAGAGGCCGCAGAGGAGTTGACAAAATGGAACAGATGAGAATTCTGAAGCGGCTCGCTGAACTTGCCGAGACCGTCAGTCCGCAGTGCCATCTGGAGGTGCTGGGGCATTTGATAAGCGCCGAGTTCGACACAACTTCAGGGGTCTTCACCAGCATGCCGCTGCACATCTGGGTTGAGACGTTTTCAGGTGTTAAGTTGCTGCTGTCCATTATGGAGCAGAACAAAGGCGCCTACTTGGTGCCTCTGGCGGGTCTCGCCGAGTCCTCTGCGCCTGAGGAAATTCAGCAGATCTCCGCTTCCATTCTCACGTCCTTCGTAGAGCGTCTTGATGATGACCTCATGAAGTCGTTGCAGTCAATAGACGTACACTCCGACGAATATAAAGAGAGACTGGGCAAGAGCATTGATATTCTAGCGCTTTTGTGGCGCACATTCTGCTTCCTTGATGAGAGGGGCTTCAAGACACAGGCGGCAACTGTTGCCCTCAAAGTCAACGAACACATGCACTACAAGTGGGCCTCAGAATTCTGTCCCTTGCTTCGCAACCAGTTTTACCTCTATGCATTTGCTTTACAAATGGCTTAAATGGTGCCGTTGTCTTGTTTATTGGCATCGTGCAAACAGAAGCTGTGCACTTGGTTTTTACGGAGTGCAGCAGGCACTCCGCACTTCTGATATTCAGTAGGTGGCGGTGCAGCCGCACGAATCAGCTGCATGTGCCCTGTTCATGCATTTGTTCCTGCGTTTTATATGCAGGCCGGACAATATAGCGATAAAAATGTGGGATGTGCTGCGCAAGGAGCTGCCTGAAGAGTTGTGCAAAGATCTTCCGGGAGAGAATATTCCGCCCACTGCCTTCATTGAGACACTCACGCGTTATGTGTTCAAGCACTGTACGTTTCTGCATGCGACAATGCATGCCTATTCATTTGAATTTTCTCTGGAGCTGCAGTGTGAACGCCTCTTTTCGACTTTGTGCAACAGGGTGGTGTGGTGAACAAGGCAGGAGACACCCCTTGGATATGTATATTCACGCGTGCATCTCACTATCAGGATTTCAGATGTTTTGATTTGATGCTTCGATACGCTGTCTGCCCCGTTATGCTTACTGCAGTGCGAGTGTTAGAACCGACTGCAGTTATTATTACCATTTCTACTTTTAAGTTTTTTTTGCGTCAGCAGTAGATGGTGAACAGTGTGGATTTGCTTCCAGATGATATTCAGTGGAAACGCTGTGCTCGTGCTGCGAAACCCGTCTGTGTTTGTTTGAAGTAAAATCCAAGTGATGTAGTTGCAAACGAATTATGAGGGTAATTTGTCGCATGGTTTGGTGTTTTTTGTCTGCAGCTGCGAGTCAGAGGGAGAAGATCCGAGCCCTTCTGCACGTGGCTTACAGCAAGAGCTTGCATGAAGATTATTATCAAGCGCGCGATTTGATGCACACCCCGAACATTCAGGAGTTGGCAATGCAGACAGACATATCGACGCAGATACTGTACAACCGGAATTTGGTGCAGCTGGGTCTCTGTGCTTTCCGCAACGGACTTATCCAAGATGCACACGCATGCTTGTCACAGATATGCCCCAAACACAAGGAGTTGCTGGCCCAGGGACTGTCGAACCTCAAGAATGTCGAACGCACACAGGAACAAGAAAGAGCAGAAAAGCGAAGACTCCTCCCGTACCACATGCACATCAGCATGGAGCTCATCGAATGCGTTCACAACATGTACGGCCACATTTCCCCCTGAAATATATCTATAGTTTAGGGTTCATGCGACGGAAGAACATGTTAATTGGCGACTTTGATCCTGGGGTTTCGGGCGGACTGTTCAGCGGGGACACTTCTTCCGGACTTAACGCGCATGCGGTGCGCGTTCCTACTGTTCTACTTGTGTCTGCTTTGCGCCAGTTCTCTTCGTTTTGGGGAGATGGTTTACGTCTGATCTTGGGTTTTATCTTTTTTGCAGCTGCGCGATGTTGCTGGAGGTGCCGCACATGGCGCACGACGCATTCGACCCGCGAAAGCGGCCGATAAGCAAACACTTTCGGCGAATGCTGGAAATGTACGACCGCCAAACGTTCGTTGGACCCCCAGAAAATCCCAGAGAAACTGTCATGGCCGCTACGAAGGCGCTGCAGCGCGGTGATTGGAATGACTGCGCACGCCACCTCTGGAGCCTTAGCATTTGGGACAAAATGTACAACAAAGAGCATATTCAACAAATGCTCCTTCAAAAGATCAAAGCAGAAGCCATGCGCACATACATCTTTACCGTGAGTTGCAAGCCTTAAGGCCCCACTGCAAGCATGCATGGCCTCCTACTTACTGGGGTCTGCTACCGTTGGGCAGGGCCCATTGGGTTTTCTTTTGAGGGCTTGCTGCTTCATTCGGGGATTTGTTGGTTTGGGCACATGCGCGTTTCTGCAGTATCTTCCGCTGTATGACTCGTTTGCAATCGGACAGTTGGCTAGTATGTTTGAGCTTTCCTTAAATGCCGTCCACTCGATCGTCAGCAAGGTAAATGGAGACGAACACAGAAAATTTTATGGAAGGGCTGCGAGCCCCACTCAGCATAAAAGCACGCCGTCGGTGTGTATATATATGGACATGGGCATGCGTATATGTATCAGCACATACATATATATATTTAATATATGCGTCTGTTAAGCGTGGGTGTGTACCACTAATGTTCAAGCTGTTGCCTGTGGTTTACTTATGCCAATTGGTTTCGTGCCCATGGTGGTGTATGCCTTAAATGTTTAAGATTTGGGGATTTGCGCATATGTTGATGCGTTTCAGATGATGATAAACGAGGAGATTCACGCCAGTTGGGATGAGACAAGTCAATATATTTTAATCAGCCGAGTGAAACACACGCGGCTGCAGCAGCTGGCGTTGACTCTTGCAGAGAATGTGGCGAATGCTGTGGAGCAGAATGAACTGACGTTGAACATGAAAAACCCAAAGTGCGTCCTTTTCTAGGGGCTAGGGTCAAAGGTTGGGGGTTAGGTTTTTCGATAGCCAGCAGCCAAAGCAACGCCTTGTTGGTTTCACCACATACCCCACAGGGATGTTAGCTGGTGGTTGTCGGGGTTGCTTGACTGTGCCTGTGATCGCGAGTTGCATGCTGCCTCTGCTTGTGCAGTATCTGCAACTGCATCAGCGTCCGTTGACCTCTCATTGTGTTTGTTTTTAATTTTGTGCAACTAAATTTCGATGCGATGAACATGCATTTTTGTGCGCGCTCCCTTGTATTTTCTTCAGATTCGCGTTGACGCACGAGCGCCGCTTCCAGCGTGAGACGGATCGCGTGGGTTGGGGGTCTCGCGATAGAGAGGACGGCATGGGCCACCGCAGCAGGCCGGGATTTAGAGGGCGCGCGGGTTTGAACCCGTTGGGGGCGCGGGGGAGAGTAACAGGAAGGGGGACATATCGCGGCAGCGGGTTTAGAAGCAACCGAGGCACAGGGGGTGACTACAGAGGCGATTACAGAGACAACAGAGGAGGAGATAACAGAAACGACTTCAAAAACAATCTTGAACAAAGAGATCCCTTCCGCATTAAATTCTCAAGTCCCCTTACCTACAACTGAGCAAACACAGTCAGCTGCAGACACCCGCAGTGCCACAAAAGAGGTGTGCGTACGGCGGGATGTGTCAGCAGCACTCAGCTGTACAGACAGCTGGAAAGAATGGGAGACAACGATAACTCGTTTTGCTGTGCATGCAGATTGACATGTATATATGTACCTCCGGCCAGCTGTACAGACAGCATGCCGCCGTACTTGCAGTTGTATTTGCGTACAGCTGTACGCGCTTGCCCAGCAGATAAATTTAAGGAATTTAAGTGCATGGATGATTTCACAGAAGGCAGAGCAGGGAGCTGGGGCGTTGCAGACGCTGTTGGATGCGCAGTGTATGTACAGCTGGCGGCGGAGGGGACCCAAAGGCCTCTGTGCTTAGTGCTGCTACAGTTGCAGCGAGAGGTGTGGCGATTTTAAGGGCTATATAATGACAACAACGACATAATCAATTGCCTTTTGTTTATGCTTCTGTACAATTTGCGACGCAGACACGATTGAGACATACAGTGAAGACAGCACTCGTAACCAGTTAGCGTACTTTAATGTAGATGCTGATTTATCTCTAGCACGATGCATCTGCTTCATGCGCAGTGGGCCAGTTGGTTACCTTTCGCCTCATGGAGCGCGTCAGCTGAGTGTACATACAGCTGGCGTCCCGATTTAATTGCTGAGAGGCAACAAAAACATGGCTGCTTTCTAAACGCAAAGCAGCCACGCCGCCCAGCCCCTGGTGGTTACAAGTGTTCGCCATCGGGTTAAGTGCGAGCGCATATTTATGTCATTGTTTACAGTTCGGTACATGTGTGCGCATCTCTATCAGTATTTACTACTATGGCGTTGCGTTTTTAGTATTCACTGAGCGAACTGAGTTAAACTACCTTGTATATGTGGACAAGTGAGCGCTCTCATGATTGTTTTACTGTTTTCCGTGAAGCTGCTGAATATGTGCAGCTGTAGATATCAACTTTGGCGAGCATATTTGCTTATGTGCACTTGTGTGCGGATCCACATTTCCGTATTTTAGATTGGACGAGCTTTCTACGGGTTTTCGGTTCTCCACATTGCAGCAGCAGGCTTGCCGATGGTTTGAGTTATTCGTGTTGCAGCACGAACTGCCTGCAGGCATTAGCGTTGGTGCCCGTCTTTTCTCGCAGACGTATCTGTCTATTAACCTATTTCTTCAGTGTATGACGCCAGAGGCGATGCTCCCAGTCTCCGTGTTGAGAGGGCTGCGGGTTTTGCTGCTGTTCTGTTTCTGCGTGCTGCAGTCTTCAGAGCTGCGCCTATAATGGCAACTGGCGAATATTCATTGCGCTGTGTCAGCCTAACAGCTTCTCAGTTGCTGGCAGGTGTTACGAGGCGCAAACAACCAACGCAAACAAACGAACAATCAATTCATGTATATTCCAACGAGACGAAGAACAGATATAAGACGTTGAAGAAGAGAGTCAGCTCATGTATGCCTGCGATGCTTGCCCTCGGCTGTCTGAGTTCTTCTGCATAAGTGGAGCATCTGTTGTTGCTTAGTGTTTATTGCAAAAGGAAGCTGGTTAGGGTGCCCTGGATTCGTTGGCGATTAGTTTGTGTCCCGGTTGCATTTGGCATTTCTAAATTTGCTTTCATATTCCTACAGCAACAACAAACGAGCGAGTAATATAACTTCATCTAGTCATCATACACTGTTGGGTTTTGTAGAACACGCTCTTCTAAAACAACATAATTGTGTATTCATACCTGGTATTCTCATAGAATATCGTTAGTTGCCAGGTGCGGAGCTTCCAGCTTGCGTCTTGATACAGCTGGGGGTTTTGCAGCTGCTCTGTTTCTGCGTGCTGCAGTCGTCAGAGCTGCTCCTTAAAAGGCTGCTGGCGAATACTCATTGCGCTGTGTCAGCCTAACAGCATTACAGCAGCTGGCAGGTGTTACGAGGCGCAAACAAACAAGTTAAACAACAAGTTAACACGTGAATAGGCTTACACAGCAACATAAGGGAAACACGTAGGGCAGGCATTCAACTAGCTCAGACGAAGCTCCTTCTGAGCCCACTAATGGCTTTCCTAACGAAGAAAGCTCCTGCATTGTGTATGGTGGCCGGTGCTGAATGAATAAATCTCGGATGCATGCTTGCAAGGTTAGAGTGCATGTGTACGTTTATGTACATTCATCTGTATTCATGGATATATAGTGATATATTCATAGTTGTTTGAGGCCCTCGTCTGTGCAAGACACTACGCAACGCCTTTGGCTTGGCGTTCAGGGTGTTACTCGCATGTCGGCGGCTAATCTCTGAGTAGCTGAGGAACTTGTGATGCGACAGTCCCTGGATGGCTTCTTGTTCTCCAATCAGGATAAGCTGTAGTTGTGAATTGTAGCTAGACAGTGGTATGCATGTGTTGGCATTTGGACCCGCCTTGTGATGTGTACTGCGGGTGTTAAGGGACGTAACTGGGCTCAATTACTGTATAATTCACGAAATAGAAATATACAAAAACATCAGAGGAGGTGAATTCGGTGGCCGCCATACCAACACAGTCACCTAATGTGTTGGGTTATACGGCGCGGTAGCATCAGGGATAGAGAGGGCATACGGTATCGTTAGTGTACTTCACTTCACGTATGGTACAGCGACACCGAACCGAACGCTTTATTTAGCCTTTTCAGTAAACATAATAAGCACTTTATGCTCCATATGCTCACATTCTAACAACTGCAGACGCCGCTCCACGCAGGGACTCCGCATTTGCCCTTGGGTTGGCGTGGTCTGTTTCAGCGGAGTCCTTCGTTTTAATTACAACAGACTGGAGTTTTGAATAATGTTAAATTAATAGTAGACACTCTGGCAGTCGCTGCAACGTAAAGAAGACGATATCAACTGTCTGGGGCCCCCCGGCGCTGACCAGCTATCGTGACTGCTTGCTGCTGCATTATTTGATAAAGCGTCTCCAGCTAGAAACAAGGAAATAAAAAATTTCAGCTTATTTGCCTTTTTTCTTGAGGGGTGAACAAGATATCTTACGGCAACACTTTATCCCTAGCGGTCCGCCCTGGGGCTCCTGAATATCGGTGTCATCGAAATCGGTTTTCTGAAACTGAACATAATTAACTCACCACCAACAGAAACGACCACGAAATGAATATCAATTCCTCTTACTAGCTTGCATTTTAGAGGAGCTGAGTGCATCTGTGCTGCTCTTCCATTCCTTAAATATCGGCATTATTTGCTGTTTCCTTGCAAGCATTGCCGGTTCTATACTTGGCTCCCTCTACCATTTTAGCCCATTATAGCAGCTTCTGTGGGCGGTACGGGTTGCATGTACACCCGCATGCAGCTCCACAATGGGCAGCAGCAGACTGAGGCCTCTGCGCCACCGTCTCCTGTGCTTTCTGTCGGTTTCTGGGACGCCTTCGCAGCGGGGTGTATGTGGAGCGAGCCGGTATTGGCTGCACTTTCTTTCTCTCCTCTAGGCAAAGACCACATCTTGTACGTTTTGCCACTCGTCTTTCGCATCTGTTTGCACACCATAAGCCGACATTTCACCTTACACCTGCATATACCATATACACTGCATACTATATGCATGAGGAGTGCGGTGCGAGGAGAGGGGAAAAGGGGAGGATTGTATCGACGCATTGGCAGGTCGTTAGAGTCTTCTTCTGCTCCTACTTCATTGCAATTTTACCCTTTCTGCAGGCGCAGCCACAGCTACAGGTATAGCTGTTGCTGCTCTGGCGGCGGCAGCAGCTTTTGCAGTGTGTTGGCTTACTGCGTCTTTTCGTCTGTTTTGTGCCTCGCAATACACCTCAGGGTCCTCGCGACAGACGGTAGCATCCAAGTTAAAACTAAAGAGAATACGCCCTCCAAAAAAAATGCAGCAGACGGCGCCAAGGAACAGCAGGAAGAGCAACAGCAGCACCTGGCAGGTGGCGGAGGAGAGCAGCAGCAGAGTGAAGAAAATCGGTCTCGCTACCAATATGGCCGGCTGTTGATGCGACGAGAGACGGTCCCCTGCAAACCTGAGTTTTTGATTAACAAATATTTATCATTAGCCGTTTACTCCAAATGTTCCCTCAAGTGTGCAGACAGCACGGAGACCAACAAACAGCACACTGCAAGCACATAAAAAACAAGCAAATATACAAAGAAAGAATCAAACACACTGCGGTCAACACAAACCTTACAGCAAAATGCACACAGTATCAGCACAGCATGATCCGCCCCACTTTCAGTGTACATGGTGACTCACAAATGATTTATAGACATACACCGATACGTGATATATCTCATATATACATATATATAACAACGTATATATGCAGGCAGTTATGTGACTGTATGCGTATGCATATGCAATATTCTTATACATGTGTAACATGTGCATGCAATATCTCTACATGCGGGTTTGCAGGGGTCGTTGGACTCCAGTGGTGACAGAATTGCAGCTGCTGCCGGGCCAGTGGTCACGACCGAGGTGTCAGCTGGTCATGCAGCCTCACCGCCTGTATGCAGCAGAGAGCGGCGGCGAAGAGGCTCCAAAGCATCGGGGAAATTCCCCTAGCAAGAGCACAGAAGAAACAAAGAGAACCCCATCAGAGGGGCAACTACCCACAGCTGCGGCCGCCAAACGCGCCAAGAAGAACAATGGGAGTAGTAACGAAGGCAGGTCCATCCACTCAAATTACATATCTATTCATGTACATTAGCATAAGAATGTTCATATGCATATCTGTGTATATAAGAATGTTCATATGCATATCTGTGTATATTTAGCTAAATATAAAGGTAGATAGGTGGATATGAAATGTTATTCAATGGTGCCACCGAAAGCAGTCTCTGCTTAGTGCCTGGAATATGCATGCATTAGTTGGGGGTGGGCAAGAAATATTCGTTTTATGGGCTGTTTCTGTCTTCTCGTATGCAGCCAAAGACACAATTGTCTATGCACGCAGTCGCGGGGGCCCTGTGGCTACAGCTCGTCGGGGTGTACGTACAGCTATTGCAGAACTCCATTTATATTCTCATCACTGGGAGCTATTGGCTCGCATTTCTTACAAGTCCGCAGCAGCAACAGCACAAAGCTCTTCCATGCACTTAATGCAGCAACTGAATACTCTACATACACAACAACACAATACAGTAATGTAGAAGGAAATGCCTGTTCAAATAATGCTGTGTAGTGCTTATTTGCTGATGCTGCTGTTGTTCGGCTGTAGGTTTGTGCTTTTGTTGTGGTTGTGATGCCTTTTCCTTTGGAACACAAGACAATGTATTTGCTTGTAGTGTACTGCATTAGGGTGAAGTCTCTTCTCTGTTTTGCCAGTCCTTGGACTGATAGACTTGCGCCTCTGTTTACTCTCTTACTGTGCTGTATCGTGCTGTATTGTGTCGAATTGTGACGTGCTGCTCTGCAATGCGTTGTATTGTGTTGTGTTTCTTTATCCAGCATTGCCTTGTGTTGTGCTGCGTTAAAGGATTGCCGAGGCAGGGCTGGTTGTAGGGCATGTGCTGACATATTGCTTGTCCTCTGGTGTCTGCGTTTTCAGCCTGTCTTTGCTATCTGAATTTATATGCTTTACTGCGTGCATATTTGTCATCTTTTGCTTATCGTTGTTTCCGTTCATCCTTGTTCACTTGTTCGTTTTCGGTCTCTGCCTTTCTGCTTTTTCTGTTGTTAGGAGTGAAATCAAGACATTTGCAAACGCTAAAGGTGAAAGCATCCTTTTTACAGTCCATCTTATCGATGCACAGGTCAGCTGAGGCCTAGGGTCCTTTAGGGTTTGGGGTGCAGCATATGGTCTGCCTTCTGCGCGCTGAGGTGTACAGATACTAATGAAGAGGGGGCGATTTAGATGGACTGTTTTCTTCTTGAAAGCGCCAAATAGGCTGCTGCTGCTCTTGCTGCTGCAGCTGTTGTTGTTGCCGTCGATGTTCTTCGTTCTGCCTTTTGCTGTTGCACTTACGGTTGCTCTGATTTCTGCTCATGCTGTTGCTACCTCTGGTGCTGATGGCTCATTATAGGCGACAGAGATTCGAGCGACATTCTTCGGCCGTGCTGCATCTCACTGGCATCCCCGTTTGTCGGTGGGCAAGGTCTACACTTTCAGCAAAGGCACTCTGCAACGTGCTAACAGGTGCACTGCAACTTCATATTTATATTTGCTCACTTCTTTATGAAATGCCATCGTACCGCATGAGTAATAGTAGGTGGTGTATGATATAGTGTATATATGTATCTATCTTGTTGCTCTTGTTTATATGATTACACAGTAGGCTGATGACATAAAGGCATGATTACATTGTTTTCGCGTAATGCCGAAAACAGTTGTTTTTGTTTGCAACCGCACGAGTATTGTTTCCCAAGGAGTCATCGTACACCAGCACGCCAGTGGCACTAAAGATGTTCTTTGTGCTTTTTGTGTTGTCTGCGTATGTTTCTCGAGGCTTCACAACTCGCTGCCGCACGAGGTCCAAATCAAATTTGATGCTTCAGTAGAAATAGATGAAGTGGGGGACGACCCGTCAATTCCTCTGCAAAAGTACGGGGAGCCAGCTGTCTGTACACCCGGCAACTCACTACACTTCTTTCGTTCGCCTTTCCTCTTGTTTGCCATATCTCTCCTCACTTCAGGCTGTTGTGTTTGCGTGTGACTACACATGACACCTACAAATTTCTGCAAACATGAGCTTGCTCACTCCGTCCTTTGCTTTGCACCCGTGCATTCCTGTTTGTCTTCTGCCGCCTCCTGTTTGTTGACGGGCGTTTAGTTTCTTCCTGTAGTTTTGCTTACCCTCCCTTTATTTTCCTTATTTTCCATTTTCTTCTTTGGATGTTTTCGTTTGTTCGCTGCGTTTGGGGGCTCTGTGGGGTTGAGTTGCCGAAAAGTAATTGGTAAAATACAAAATATTTACTAAATTTTGTATCTATTTGTTCCCGTCAAAAGCATCTTTACGGTGACAGCTATCCCGTTGTTTGCAGCGGATTATATGGTTTGAGGTGTTTTGGAATTTTTTGCGGCTTTTTGGCTGCGTCTTGTTTATTCGGCCGGTGGGGTGTCTATGTTGATTAGGGCTGAATGTGCCCTTGCCTGTGTGCTGCATCAGATTTGAGCGGGTGTATTTGGGGGACCTTCCGCGGTTTCCTCCCGGGAGCGTGGTGGACGTGTTGGGATTTGTCGTGGGAGCGAAAGAGGTTGAAACGGTTTTGTCTCGGGTGGGTTGCTTGTTTTCGGTTGCAGTAGTTTAGCTAGTATAAGAAAATAATTTAAAACACCTAAAGCACCATGCAGATCCATGACGGCGTAGCTTTAGGGAGCGCTGACAACATTAAACAAAAATGAGAACTACTGGCGTACTGACGTGCACGAACGCATGCGCTGGCCAGAGGCGAATTGCTACTTGTTCACTTCAGATTCTATTTCTTTTTGGGTTTTGGAACAGACGAAAAATGAACAACTCCTTAGAAGAGAGTTGACGCTCCTAGATGCCTCGGAGTCGCCTGTTTTCTTCACTCTCTTTGGCGCCCAGGCGCTTCAGCTGCCGCATTCTGCTTTAGAAGACAATCCGTTGGTTGCTATCAAGGGTAAGGACATCAAATCTGTTTCTCCATGACGAACACTTAGGGATGGTGCATGCACCATCCGTTGAATGCATCATACGTGCATCATTCGTTTGCTTTTGGTTTTTATCGGGCTTTTGTGAGGTTAGGTGCTAAAGTTCAGGAATACGGGGGCCGGAGCTGTCTGGTTTCTTCTGCTCAAATGCAGATCACTTTCTTGCAGCGGGCACATGCAACAGAAACAAATAGAAGTACCAGGGCAGCAGCAGCACCAGCAACACAGAGGCAAATGCAAGCCGAAAAAGAAACGACAGAAGAAAACATGGCGCATACAGGAGGTTCGTCCCGCACGCAAACCCCAATTTTCGCAGGCGTTGCTGCAGCAGATGTGCAAGGAGAGTTGGACTGGTTTTCTGCAAAGGGAGCAGCCATTCTGAACACCCTAGAGGACTATGGCCCGAAGGCGGCGTTTCCTCTTGTAAGTGTCCCATCTCTCTGGGCTTCTTTCTGCCTCATTTAATCTACCGTTCTGCTCGACGGATGAACGCACTTTTGGTGTTTATATGCCGTTGTTAACACCTGTCGGTGTTTGTGTTGGTGTTGTGCTGACTCAAATGTTGCATTTGCACGCAGAATTATCTATGTACCTGTTCCGTTTATTTATCTTAGTCGGTGCCCTGAGTGCATGTCTGTCGATAATATATCCATATGTACTTGTGCATTCGTGTACATACAAATTTGTACCCCTGGCAGCCTGAGACTTGTACGGATGGTGTTTGCCCCGGGGCCCGCTACATGCTCACGGACATGCTTGCGTTCCATGCGTTGCATGCATTTCTGTGCGTGGAGCGCTGCTCTACAGACACTGGGGGAGGTTGGGCGAGCAGTGCAGCATCTGCACTTGGAGGAGGTGGGGTCGAGCAGGGCGTTCAACGTCATAGGTAGCCTCTTGGACCTGCAGGGGGCGCATCTCTTCTGGCTGTGAGCAGCGCATGTAAATAGCTGCAATCAAGGCATTTGTACATGGTTAAGATACCTAAACAGAGACACACACAACGGCGAGAGCTCCCTACATGGGTTCGGGAAGATGATCAGCCTCAGACAGAACACAGCTAACACGCAGTATTCAGGGCTTGGGGTTTATATTTTATGGTCTAGCATAGAGTGCGTTCCGACGAATACCAGCAGCGGCACGGTTGCAAGGACTGACAGACGAAATCTTCAGAGGCAGCGCAAACAGGTACACAACAAGAGCTTCCTTGGGAGAGGAGCATACTAGCGACGATATATAAACATGACCAATTGTTTAGTCTCCTTTTACTGCTTCTTCAGCGCCTGCCCACAGTGTAAGCGGAAACTGCAGAAGAACGCCTCAAATATTTCAACTGTGGGGCTCCTTAACTGTACCTTCTGCCGAAAGGCAGTAAAACCAGAACAGCGGTGAGGCAGGCGGGAGTTAGCTTTTAAGACGTTCTATGTTTTGTTATTTGTTGATTCAGTGTTGCTTGCTTTTTGTTTAGCGAATGTTGCTTGTTTTCTATTCGTTTTTTGACTTCAATTCGTGTTGTTATTTGTTGATTGATTGTTGCTTGTATTGCTATTGCTTATTGACTTTTGTTCGTTGGTGCTTGTGATGTGGTTTGTTTGTTGATTGGTGCGTGCTTATTTTTGTCCTCGTTTGTCCATGGTTGCTTTTGTGTCCACTTTTATGTGTTTTTTATGCACTTGTGTTTCCGTGTTCGTATATGTTCCTTTTGCTTTGTCTTGCGTTCGCGTGTTCGTTTCCCTCTTTGATAGTGTTCAAGATTGTTTGGTGTTGTGCCTGTCTTTGCGCGTCTGCTTTGTTTGTCTTTTTATTTTTGATGCGCGTTTGTTTTTGCGTGATTTTGCTTGTGTCTGTCCTAGTATTCATTTGCGTGTTTGCATATGCCTAACTCCCCTTCTCTTCGCCTCTGCCTTCGCGACCCTTTTAATTTCTTGCATCTCTTTTGCGAGTCTCTCTGCCAGTCAATCTCTGTGTCAGTGACTCTGTGTTGTTCTGCGTCTCTCTCTCTCGGTCACTCCGAATTGCGTCTAAGCCTGTCTCTCTCTCTCTCTCTCTCTCTCTCTCTCTTTCCGCCCTTGTCGTTCCGACTGTTTCTCTTGCCTTCTCGCTGCCTTTCTTTCATCGAAGCTTATTTCGAAGGAGGCATAGTTGGTTTTGATGCAGCGCGCATATGTCACACTGTGCATACACTACAATGTCTACAGGTGGAAGTTGGCGTTGAAGTTAATTGACAGTTGGGGGACCCTCGATTGCGTCGCTTTGGGGAGGCAGGGACAGGTAGACCTCCCCGCTGCTGTTGCTACTCTTGTCGTTGCTTGCCAGCCATATCCTTCAAGCAGGTCTCCTCCGTGCTCCCATTTGCCACTTTTTCACTGTTAGTTTGGTCCCCTTCCCGATGATGCTGCTGGTGATGATGGTGGGGTCATTATTCTCTTTCTTTCTTTTGGTTTTTTGCTTGCGCTCTTACGTTTGATTTTGTTCTTGCTGGGGAAGTTGTTGGGATTGCTGCTGCTTCTTACAGCCGCTTTACGGTGCTTTTACCTGCCCTTCTTCTAGTTGTAATTGTGTCCGTTATTGCTGTTCGATTAGTCTAATTTTTCCCTTATTGTTTTCGCCCTGTTTGTTTGAACACCCCAGGAAATCATGAAAGTAGTTGACGTTACTGCCGAAGGCCTCAGCAAGCTCGAGGCAGGAGGCAGAGATACTCGGGGCCGAACGTTCGACGATATTTTGAATCAACTCATTTTTTCCGTGAGCAATATTAAACCACTTGCAGAATTACAATAAAGCAGCAGTAGCAACAACAGTAATAGCAGCAGTACCAGCGCCTGCAACAACAACAGCAAAGCAGTGGGAGGAATACTAGCATCAATAATTAGCAGCACCAGCGGAAGAAGCAGTAGCAGCAGCAATACCAATAACAGCATTAGCATTAGTAGCAGCGGCATCAGGTGTAGCGGCAACAGAATCACTAGGAACAACAATAACTGTGGCCGGAGTTATGCGATTTTTTGCAAAAGCAGTTCTCGAATGCGCTTTGCGAGGTGTTAAACCCTGTTAAAACCTGAGCCCCAGACCACACCCCCTACAACTTTGAAGATATGCAGGGAAGCGGTGTTTGTGCCTAATTTATTTTCTTCTATTGTTTCCTTAGGAATTCAGGTTGGATCTTGTCGCAAAGTGTGACGTCTACAAGGATAGAAAGACAGTGCAGATAGTAAGACTGCACCTGAAATCGAAACCCTGAACCGTAAACCCTTAGCCCTATCTTGTATGTATGTATACGCGCACAGGTACTGCATCAGGCAGTTTGAGAGCAAGTGGCGTTCACCTCCCTTGTCTTCTGGGTTTAGGGCCAACTGCGTAGCGTTAGGGTTTAGGATTCGCTGCGTATGATTTACGGTCCAAGCTTTACTGCTCAGGGTATGGAGTTTGGCTTTGGATTGTTCATCTGGTTTGATACGTGTTTATTTCTCAGCTTGTCCAAGGGGCTGTGCACACGGCAGAAGACCCGTGGCTACAAGTGCAAGATAGCGTGCGCCTTACAGAACGACTGCTCGCAACTATCTGTGTTGCGGGTCAGCAGCATTAGCTCTAAACACCAAACCACCGCAAACTCACGCAAACTTCTTGCTGTCAACAGCTGTACATCTAGTTGGTGGGACGCTCTTCGCCTGGAGGCTTCTACCCGACATCCGGCGTTGCATCTCCTGGAGATGCATTGAACGATAGTTTGCTTTAATACTACTTTGTTTTTGAGGCGATTTTTCATTAAGCTTTTGTTTGTATATCTCTCAACAGACAAAGGACTCATATGTTTCTTTGGAGTTTGCTTTTACGCGCATTGTTCCCCTATGCATAGGTTTGTAGGTTTAGACGGGGGCGATTACCTGGAGCGGAATTCTGCTGCAAGGTAGCGCAATTCAATGTTCGGATACATTTAGTGGGAAATGAAGAAAGAAGCAAAAGTTTACCAAGAGCACTAATTTAAGTGTTTGGCAGTTTTGGGTGGGTGGGTTTTGGGGGGGAGGGCGG